TAAGGCTAGCCACTAACTATTTTGTAACCAACATCACGTAATTACAAAATGCTGATTGAAGCGAATGCGCAAGCTCCAGGGAGCGAAGTGGGTTTCCTGCTCTCTACGCTCTCAGCACTGAGTCAGCGCTGAGAGCACGCTTCCTGTACCAGTATGGCTATGGAGATAACGCGCGCGCTGTTGCCGCTCGAGCGATGCAGCCTTCACGCCTCTCCAGCGGCGCCCGTTTGCGCTCCTTCGCCCGACGAAAGACGAGTGGCGCGTTTCCTTTTTGCTTCACGGGCCATCGACGCCAGGCCTCGGGCGATGTTTTCGCATGTGATCTTCGTGCGACAGATGCGGTGGGCTCTTTTCATCTCTGCTTCAGCCGCGCTCGTCCCCAGCACTCGCACTTTTTGGCTAGCGCGTAGAACGTACGATGCGCGGGACGAAATTATTTATTTAGACTTTACACCGGGAGCATAATGGTGACAGTGACACTGAAGGCGAAAGCGGAATACCTCCAATAGTGTCAACATAGTTGATATCGCAATAAATATGGTTATTTCTTCGATAATTTATGTGGAAACGCTGGTATACCAAGCTGACTTTTTCTTCCTTTGATAGATGTTAAATGCGTTTTGCGCCAGACAAGGATAGCATATTCTGTGCATGATAAACTAGCACACAAATTTTTCTTTTACCACTAAAAATTTCTAATATCGTAGTGTAAAACACACACCTTACTCGTACTGCGCAGCTTTCCAGAGGCAAGCTCGTCGACGCCTAACGAGCCCGTCTCGACGAATAGCGCCCGAAAGCAGAAGCGCACCGGGAAAGTGGCCAAATGAAACTCTTCGATGTATGCGCCTCGCTGCGTGAGCCGAGATTAAGCGGTGCGCTGAACTGATCTCCTCGTTGGTCACTGCGGTCAGTCAAAAACAAAAATTTCAACGAACTCCTACCAAGGTCTTACATAAATATATTGCGTACGTATATGAATATCTAATAAAGTGTACCTCGTGATTTAGTACCATTCATGATACGCTCTTCTTTTATAAACGAACCACCTCTATTAGAAAACATTTCGGGAACGTATGACACATACCTGCTGTTCGAACAAAAAGAAGAGGATTTGATAAAAGACCAGTTCGTTTGATGGTGTTATTTTGATGGTTCCATTAGGTTGTGCCTGTTGCTTGTCTCGTAAGGTTTCTTTTGCGATCTATTCATGCCATTACCGCCCATTTACCTAGCATGCTAGTATACTTTCATAGCTAAACTCTTGTCAAAGTTGCTTAAGCCACTAGTAAAAACTATGGAAAAAAATAATTGGGGCGTCCGACGTTGCCTAGCAACCACTAATACCACAACTGCCTCGCACCTAGTCCACAAGACCGTCACGCGCTTTCTTCGTATACTCTTCTGCGTCGTCTTGTTCATCCTCTGCTTCACTTTCAGAACAGGTACTCCGGTGCGGTATATAACTCTAATTGGGGAGATGAGTACAGTTAGATGAAAAAAGGGATATATACAGAAGGAGCGAGAAAAAAATTGACACAAGGTGCGTGGAGCTTAGAGAACAGTGGAACTACAGTTATTCTTAGCGTGGCCTTCTTGTGTTTCCTTGGCATAGACAGTGCGAAGTGCATGAAACCACAGCCTGTCACAGACGATGCATGAGTGTCCAAACTCTTCCGCCTCAACTAATGATCAAGCCTGGCTTTTGCACCTTGGGTGCAAAAGCATGGCTTGCCCCGAAGGTGCAAGCACGGGCCCAGGCCGTTCGGGCCCCGACCGTTCGGGCCCCGGCCGTTCGGGCCACAGCACAGCATGTCACAGCAAACCACAGCATGTCACAGACGATGCATGAGTGTCCAAACTCCTCCGCCTCAAATAATAATCAAGCCTGGCTTTAGCACCTTCGGTGCAAAAGCACGGCTTGCACCAAAGGTGCAAGCACGGGCCCCGGCCGTTCGTTGCTCGTACTCGACTCACACGGCGAACAAAAGTGGCGCACCGACTGCGCAGACTGTCTCCGTCGGTGAGCATGGCTAATAAGCGACGGCGCAGACCACTTTGTGTGGACGCCCGAGGTCTCGCCTCCAGTTTTAGGAACTTCGCTTTTAATAAAGACAGTGAAAGAAAAATTGTGGAGAAAAGTCATTCGCGAGGCGAGACCCAGGTACCCACAACCCGAAGGCGAGCCTCTTAACCACTTGGCTATCTTGGTGCGCTAACAAAGCGTAGCATAACGCATAGTACAGAAGAGAGTAGGAAGTTGAGAGTGTGAGTTGTAACATAGAAAGAAAGAGGAATAGAGCTAACAAACACAGAAATAAAAGGAAGAACTAAAAAATAGAGGGACAGAAAAAGTGAGTGATAGAAAGTCACGCATTTACCAATCCCTGTACCTTGTGTCGGCTCCATGACGTTTGAATAAGGCAGCAGTGTGTGTTTTCAAGACTGTACATTTTATTTGAGCAACCTGCGGCCTGAACACGAGATGCCACTCTAGAAACAATATAAGCAATAGATGACAGCGGCGAACAGAGTGTCGGCCGTCGAGAATGTGATATTTGGTAGGGCGCGTCAGGTATGAATACATCCGCCATAGCAGGTGTTATCACTGCCGATTGCGAAAGCTCTCGAAAAAAGCTTGACTATTCACGTCCTGAGTGTAATCTTAACAAAATTATCTCAGACACTTTTTAAGCTTGACGAACAGCGCGACGTGGGTTAATAGCTTTTGTAGGCGAAACACAAATGAAGAAAAAAAACAAGAAGCAGACGTGGTAATATTTCTGTTTTTTTTTGCTAATTTCGAAAAATATTCGTTCTGAAAACTGAAATAGCGTAATTTCTTTGGCATAAATTTTTTTGCGCTCATATTCACAAATCCTCTTGCGCTCCCCTCAAAAGAAATACTCTACTTTCCGAAGAGGCACGAGGACCACGTCACTGCCATTATTGAAAACTACGCGATAGCGTTAAAAAGCTCGTTTCGCAGAAATCCTGACTTTAGTGCCGGCGTCGTCGTCGGCGTCGTTGAGAGTGAAAAATAATAATCTTTTTTTTTTGTGAACGAAATAAAAATCGAAAAAGATGCAAGTAGAATAAACTTTAAAAAATGGTCCTGGTCCGAGTGAGGATCAAACCAAGGTGGTCTGCATGGCAAGGAGGTGTTCTACTATACAGAGTGACGAGATTTTTTTTCGTTCCCAAATGGTTTTTATTAACCTGTGTATTTGTTTAAACTGACTTCAAAAAACAAAACAGTATATAAATGTTATGTAGTATAATAAGTCTCCTTGACGCGTCATATATGTTGCCGTTGAATTCACGCTACTACACCATATGTTAAAATGGCATCATATATTGCATGGTAGAAGCGTATAATCGCGCCATGTCTCAAAATATATGCAATGAGTGTATGTTTTGAAGTTCCATTTATTACAAAGCGTTGAGGCGTACTCAGTCATCATCAACAGCAGAACATCAACAAAGTGAACAGTTACGCAGGTTCGCATGTTGCGCTACGGGCACGTAGTGGGTTCTTTCCTGATTCGCAAAGAGAAGCACTTGTGGCGTAGTGGGCACTTAAAAACTGTTGTGACCAATCCCCGTAAGCAGGTCAAGTCATATCATTAGGATCATGCAAGCAATCAAGCAAACTCTGCCGCTTGAAATTGCCATTCAGCGATACTTTGAAGCGGCCAATGTTTCGCGCTCAATGTTAGTTTCTTGCGGCACGTTGAGTCATCCGAACCAGGTTATCAGGTCGGAAGCCGATGCGCACGAGGCCCGATTATGCTATAGCGACGTACTCTGGAAGGCGAAGTGCTCAAGCAGTGCGTGAGCAAACTTTTATTTAACCAGCGGATGAGCGGGGCCCTAAGCCGCACAAGGGGTGGCGAGGACCCTGTCTCTCAGGCCGCCTCCCTTGCTCGTGGATGCCATAGTGATCTGTCCGATCTAGCTGATCAGCGCGGCTTTCCCCGACGCACCCAAGATGTTCTGCGTGCTGCATTGGCGTCTGATATCTGTGTGCATTCACATAAAATATGCTCTAGGGAGGCGCGTCTCATGCTACGTAGTTTCTCCTATTTATTTTTGCTCTACTAAGAATATAGCTACACCCGCTCGTTTTTCGACCAAGCGCAAGGAGGGAGAAAAAGACGGGGATCGCTGCGCGCGACAGCAGTCGCACGTGTCAGCCTCGGGTGGCGCTTGCAGGCCAGTGTCTTCGAAAGAGCACGGCCGCCGTTGGTTCACCCTCCATGGACAGGTTTCTTCTGTCCGAACGGTCTAACTACTTCGGAAACACAGGCGCAGAGCGAATCGAGTAAGTAAGAGGGCCACAAAGGTTACAGAAAAACTGTTCTTGCACATTATTTTTCCTGTTTTTTGTTTGTTCGTTTTCTTGAGAGTTTTGGATGGGGCAGTGTCTTCCGAACATGTCTGCTCATTGAAGATACCATGGTACAGTTTCATTAAAAAACAGCCACAAGAGAGCTGCCCGCTTAAGCACAGTTCTGAACCAATTTGTAATGGAGGTGATAGCGAACAATAGTCGCAGCTCGGATTTCAAGCCTTGCGTGCAGGATGGCGGGTATGAGAAGTCAACATGCCCCACCGTGGTGGTCTAGCGGCTAAGGTACTCGGAGGCTGACCCACAGGTCACGTGATCGAATCCCGGCTGCAGCGGCAGCATTTCCGATGGAGGCGGAAATCTTTTAGGCCCGTGTGCTCAGATTTGGGTGCACGTTAAAGAACCCCAGGTGGTCGAAATTTTCGGAGCCCTCCCCTACAGCATCTCTCATAATATGTTGGTTTCGGGACGTTAAACCGCACACATCAATTATGAGAAGTTGACGTATATTTATTGCTAAAATTGTGTCGTACCACTTTATTTTGAGGTGTGGATAATGCTTGTTGTTTCCTTGCATTCACTTACAATGCATATTTGTCGCCATAATCACTGACTGTGTAGGTCATTTAATGAAATAGCTGAATAGTCTATGGCTGCGAGCTCGCTATGTGGCGCTATTCAAAGCGATTGTCCATCGTCACGAGTTCATTGCGGCTGCAGCAAACTGCTCAAGCTGTTGCCAGTTGTGACGCTGGTGGTGACGCTGGTGACTTTCGTGGCGTTCGTGGTGGCGTACAAGAACCGTCAAGAGAGACCCGCCTGCGTTGTCCAGACGCACGAATCGCAGGTCGAAGGCAGGGCTGTCATGGTCGAAGGTATGTCTGAGATTTGGGCTGCGGCGCTGCAACGGTGTGCCTATGCCCAATGACCCGTGCAGACAGTTAATCCAGAGAAAGCCCGGAGGTCGTCAAATGTAATGAATTGAAGTAAACGAAATATCACCCGTTCTATCGGTGGGAGCAGAACACACCACTTTTGAATTGCGTGTCCGATGCTCTCTCTAGTAGTAGTTCTTGGTCCAATTCAGTTCATATCGATTTCCATCGCAAGTAAACTATAGTTACGCATGATGGCCAACGTCATTCATGCTCCTGGCATCATTGTCTGCACAGTTTATCTGGTTGTGTCTAACGTGAAACAAGTCCCTAAAAAAAGGCCCTTTCCAGAGCCGGCGAGGAGCACACACAAAGCTTTCTATACCTTCGCTTAGGTGTCCAAGTCGTGGAGTTCCTGGCCATCCCGTTTGCTGAGAGCACGGCGGGCTCGAATCGATTCCGCAGACCACTGGCACGTGCGCTGCCTCGCAAGCTGAACGCTCGCAGGTTGGGCCCTTCCTGCTTCCAGAGGAGTAATAATGCCTCGTCGACCACGGCAACATCCGGAGGGACGGCGACGACAGCTATTGGCTCGCGTCCGTCAGCGTCCGATGGCCCGCGCCAAGTACTGTCCTCTGCGGCCGCAGCTGTTTCGGAAACATTGCAAGAGGATCTCCGCTGTTTTAGTGGAGTCACTCCTCCAGCACACAATGTGCTGGAAGGCCATGAACAGCCGTCGGAGGACTGCCTGCATCTCAACATCTGGGTGCCACACGTGGTAAGGATGTTACACGCCAAGTCATGGTAAAGTGAACTGCTGTAAGAGAAGGCTGAGTGCAACGCTGAACATAACGACATATAATTTGGCCTAAATAATTTAGAGACCATCTAGAGGTCAAACATTTTGTTTTGGTGTTGCAGTTGTACACGAGTCTAAGAAAAACAACAACAAAAAAAGCACTTACCCGCGTAAAGTTTGTGAAATGGGGCAGTTACGCACGTTTGATGATCCAAAATCTGTCCCATTATTTTCGCTTTTACTTCGTTTGTCGGTTCCTTTCACCCCTGGCCCAGTGATCCTGCTCATCATGCGAAGAGAAAGAGGGCTGAGAACGCGTACCTGCCATATAGTTTCTTAATATTAACTAGAGGAGACTCTGGCGCTGCGGTCGTTCAGCGACCATGGTAATTATCGGTTGTACACAGATTTGCCTGGTCTTCGTACTTGCGGGCGGCAAATCGCACTTGCGGCTTCGTTTATTGTTGGTTTCGGTTTGCTTTTGAAAGAAAGAACGAATCCTTTTCAATTTCATGACCCGATTCGAAATGGTAAGCCTAAAAGAATAAGGGGGTGAGGCGCAGCCACTGAACATTTGTTGATTTTTGTTTAGTGAGAAAACAGCTCCAAGCCACAGGAACACACATGGAGCCAGAAGCAGGCCAGAGGTATGAAGATTAGCCAAATATGTGTACTATCGATCCTTCCCATGCTCACTGAAGCGCCGTGCGTTGCAGCTGCCATAGACACTGGCGCCAGAGTTGCCTCTAGTGAATATTAGGAAACTCTATTGTACCTGCAAGCGTACAAGACGGTTCTTACCATGAATGACATGACTATACGCGAATGTTAACGTCGTGACCAACTGTGGGGGTTATCGAAAGGGAGAAGAAGCGATTGTTCTTTGGGATCTGTGGTGCGCCCGAAGCTCGTATCACTGCCGCGTTTTGATTGTTTCCTTCGACGGCATTTCGAACATAATTTGTGTGTTTACTTTAAATGTTGAAAAAAAAATACCTGAAAGAACCTAGAGCTCTAACGACTGTACTCGTATACTGAGAAGGTTAGTTTGGTTTTAGCATAACTGAAACAGCGCAAATGTTTGTGTGGTGTCAATAAAAAAGAATTTGAGCGTGGGCGTGAGCCGTAAACAGGAACATACTTTAAACGATGTGTCAATACTCTAGGTTATGTCATGAGGCGCACGTACTAGATGATTCCTGAACATCCTGTACAAGCCTTGCGGGAGCTCCATATGCATCTTCAGAAGAAAGTACCTATACAAGAGGTTCGTTTTATCTGAATCCGTAAACAAGAACCAGCATTTCTTCCCGGTGGCTCTGTTTGTTATTCTGGCTGGAATATCTTCTCCATTCGCAGAAAGCAAGGGTCGCACTATAATTTTCAGCACTCCGGTGAGTAATTAACGCCTCGAGACCGTACAGTAGGCCCTTCTTATAAATGTAAAGCTAGCTTTTCCGGCGATGCAGTTAGCCCAACTAATTTTAACCATTGTCACATCTGCAAACACTGTTCAAGCGCGCTTTGCTGCACTACTACGCGGGAAATGTAGAAACAGCTCCCTGGATATGAGCACGCATAATAGACAAGCACAAACCCGTGAAACTATAAGTCCTTCTCTCCAGTTGAAGAACAATAGGTGCCTCCAATAGTTGGGCGAATTTTCGGCACAGGGAAGCGAACTAGCTGATTACAAAAAGAGTCAATTGAAGCGGTTCTGCCCATTCTTGCGTGACAAAATGTGCGATTATGTATATCTACATCGTAAGAAATACTTTTGATGACCTAACTGGAAAGTACTTACAATCTTCATGACAAATCATCGACAAATTCTACTTGGCGCAGGACTCTGGTAACGCAAGCACGTCATCCGATTCGGCCGAGGCGAAAGAGCATCGCCCCAAGAAGCCCGTGGTCGTCTTCTTCCATGGTGGAGGCTTCCAAGAGGGATCCAACAGTGATCCCAGATATGACGGCAGGTAATTCACATCTGTCAGCGTATACACCACCCCATCTGAGGTGCAGGAAAGGGGCTGAGGTTATTTTAAGCCTAGTTAGCACTAGCAAAAGCAACGTTTCGCTCAGTTTTGCAATTTTTATATATATATATATATATATATATATATATATATATATATATATATATATATATATATATATATATATATATATATATATATTGTAGGCATCTATTATGCGCTTCATCATCATCTGAACAGCAGTCAATCATCATCATATGTTCTGGCTGACAATCATCATCTGCTTGGCACGAGCGCTTCTTTGTCGGGTCTGTTGCGCTTGTTCGTTCCCGAGTTCACGGCCAATAAACCTCGCTACAACCGAGTCGTCATACGTGGTGGAGGTGGATTGACGTTCCCAGTACCTCTACTTACAACGCCTACTCGCTGGAGCTCCGTTCAGGCCGCCGCTTGGTCCCTCAGTCCGCCAACATGTCTCACAGTGAGTGGGTGGATGCCCTTTCGGCTCCCGTCTCTGCGCCGCAAGCCGTCACTGCGCCACAAGCCCCTCCTCTTTACATCGTAAACCACCAGCGTGACCCTCCGATCTTCGCTGGTCTCCGCGGCGAAGATGTGGAGGACTGGCTCGATAACTACGAGCGGGTCAGCGCAACTAATCACTGGGACGACTCTAACAAGCTCCGCCGAGTATCGCTTTATCTCACGGGCGTTGCCAAGACATGGTTCTTGAACCATGAGATCGACCTCACCGACTGGCCTGCCTTCAAGCAGCAGCTTCGCCAAGTATTCGGCACACCAGCCGTTCGATCCGCTCTAGCGAGGAGGGCCCTAGATACTCGCCAACAACATCCCGGCGAGTCATACACATCTTATATCGAGGATGTCCTTGCGCTTTGCCGGCGCGTCAATTCTTCGATGTCCGAGTCGGACAAACTGCGCCACATCCTGAAGGGCATCGGAAGCATTGCCTACAATGCCCTTGTTGCCCAGAATCCTTCTACTGTCACGGACGTCGTCTCTACGTGTCAGCGTCTCGACGAACTTGATTCTGTTCGCCTTCAGTCGGGCAATAGTGAACACCGTACCGCAGACCGGGACCTGCGTGACATGATACGGGAGATCATACGAGAAGAACTTCAATCAATGGGTATCTCAAAACCTTCTCCATCTGTCACACAGCCTTCAAGCATGGCCCTCCGTGACATCGTAAGGGAGGAACTAACATCATTCACCGGTCCAGCCTACGTCCAGCCACCTCCGTCTAGCCCTCCAACGTACGCGCAAGTTGCGGCCGCGCCTCCTCGCAACGTAAACTCTACTTCACCGCTGCCATCATTCACGCCGGTTGCTGCTGCACCACCGGTCCACTTCCGGCCAATCCCACCCGAACCTCCGTCAGTCCACTTGAGTGCGCTATCTTCCGGTGTGCCGAACGCCCTCTACTACCCGCCTTGGCGCCCGTCTCGCCCAACATGCTTTTACTGTGGATATCGTGGCCATATATCGCGCTTCTGCCGCAAGCGCCAGCAGGACGAGCGTCGCGGGTACGACATGCGCAAACGGGACTTTTCCAGAGGGGACTCTTACGCTCGGAATTATTCATCTGGACAGCAGCGGTCTCCATCTCCGCCCGCGTCGACTGAGACGCGGAACACTTACCGTTCAAGCCGACGCCGATCACCTTCGCCCTTCCGTCGCTCCTCCTCTCCTCTTCGGCCAGCCTCGTTTACTACTGATAACCGGTCGGAAAACTAAATGATGCAGTTTTCGGAGGAGAAACTGCATGTAACAGTAGGACTCATATTCCTCCAGCACGCCCGTTCAACATGGTTTCTGTTACGGTGGAAGGAGTTCTCGTGGACGCTTTGGTGGACACCGGTGCTACAGTTTCTGTGATTAGGTATGATTTGTGCAAACGCCTGAAGAAAGTAATGACACCTTATAATGGACCCAATCTAGTCGAAGCCCAGGGGAACGCTATCCGCCCTTTTGCTCTTTGTACTGCTCGTGTATTTATTGATGACATTTTGCATTACATCGAGTTCACTGTGCTTACCCGGTGCTCTCACCAGCTGATTCTAGGGTGGGACTTCCTATCTTCTTCTTCAGCCGCTATATGTTGTGGTGAACGGATTCTGCACCTAACTAATACGGACTCCATGTTCGACGAAGGCGTCTACAAGCCTCTACGCCTGTTCGCTCGCGAAGATCTCGAACTACCGCCACACCAAGAACGAATTGTGACCCTGATTTCTAAGGACATCGACCACGGTGACGTCTTGGTGTCCCCTTCGTCGACTTGCGTCGCAAAAGGCATAGCCCTTGCATCAGGTGTCGTACGCTTTCACCATGGCTCCGCGCTCGTCATTGCTACGAATGAAACGCCAGAGAAAGTTCTCCTGCCAGAGGGCACTGCAGTAGCCTGTGTTGTGGATGCTGAGCCTGTCAGCGTCACGCCACTTAACCCTGCCTCTACCAACGACCGTTCTATGAGTAAGCCTGCCTCATCCTCTCCCTTCACAGCTCTTATCAGTGATGACTTAACAGCTATGCAGGCGCAGCAGTTGCTTGCGTTATTAACGAAACACGCCGATTCTTTCGACACCTGCTCCTCAACGTTGGGCCGAACTACCACTGCAGCGCATCGCATTCAGACGGAGGGAACATCTATTGTACATCGCCGCCCGTACCGCGTGTCTCTCGCTGAGCGAAAAAATCATCGAGGAAAACGTCGCCGACATGCTCCAACGAGAAATAATTCGTCCATCAACTAGCCCTTGGTCATCCCCTGTTGTTTTGGTACGGAAAAAAGATGGCTCCGTGCGCTTTTGCGTTGATTACCGGGCACTTAACAACATCACACGCAAGGACGTATACCCCATGCCACGCATCGACGACGCCCTTGATTCACTGCAAGGCGCCGAATACTTTTCAAGCCTTGATTTGCGTTCGGGATATTGGCAAATTCCCATGCACGATGACGACAAAGAAAAAACGGCATTTGCAACCCCCGATGGCCTATACGAATTTAACGTGATGCCTTTCGGGCTCTGCAATGCGCCCGCGACGTTTGAACGCATGATCGACACCGTCCTGCGTGGTCTGAAATGAAAGACGTGTCTCTGCTATCTTGATGACATTATCATCTTTTCATCAACGTTTTCTCAGCACCTGAGCCGCTTGGATGACGTCCTAACATGCCTCGCCGGTGCAGGCCTGCAGCTCAACACTAAGAAGTGCCGTTTCGCCACCAAATCCATCAAGGTTCTCGGTCATGTCGTCAGCAAGGACGGTATTCGCCCTGACCCCGAAAAGATCGCTGCCGTCCTTCGATTTCCATGCCCCACAAGACTTAAGGATTTGCGAAGTTTTCTTGGCCTCGCATCATATTTTCGTCGCTTCATACAAAATTTCGCTTCAATAGCTGCGCCACTTCACAACTACTTGCATCTAATGCACCCTTTGTCTGGTCCGAGGAATGTCAGTCGGCGTTTCACCTATTGAAGAAAGCTTTGACGTCAGAGCCTGTACTCTGCCATTTTGATGACACCGCCCCAACACTCCTGCATACCGACGCCAGCGGCTGCGGTATAGGTGCTGTTCTCCTCCAACGCGATAACTCTGGACGGGAAAGGGTCATCGCATATGCTAGCCGAGTGCTAACTTCTACCGAAAAAAACTATACCATCACTGAGCAGGAGTGCCTCGCTGTGGTTTGGTCCATACAAAAGTTCCGTCCTCATCTGTACGGCCGTCAATTCACCATCGTAACGGACCACCACGCCTTATGCTGGCTTTCTACAATGAAGAACTTGTCCGGACGCTTGGGTCGTTGGATTTTACGCCTGCAGGAGTATCAGTTTGAGATTATTTATAAATCGGGCAAAAAACATCAAGACGCCGACGCTCTTTCTCGTTGCCCACTACCTACAGCGTCGTTCGACACTCCAGCTGCCACCTCCAACGACACCAGTGCGGACGTGACTCCCACTTCTGTTGCCTTGCTCGCCTCGCTGTACCAACCGCCAATCGACGATGAACAACCCTTCAGTTCTCACCAGCAGGCTGACCCGTATTGTCGGCGCATTATAGACCACCTCTCAGGAGCTACGCGTCCACCCAATGCACGCCTTCGTCGACAACTCGAGCACTTCAAGTTTCAGGACGGTGTGCTGTATCGTCACATATATCATCCTGACGGCACACGCTGGGTACCTGTTCTGCCACGCGCTCTTCAACATCATGTACTTAACGCCTTTCATGACGATTTAACTGCTGGCCACCTAGGCTTTCAAAAAACCTACGACCGCATTCGAAGCCGCTTTTATTGGCCTGGGATTTCTACCAGCGTAGCAAAGTACGTGGGTTCCTGCTCTCCATGCCAACTTCGCAAACTTCCGACATCTCCCCCAGCTGGTCAGTTACAGCCAATGACGTGCCCTACAACACCTTTCGAGGTCGTCGGTGTCGATCTTTATGGACCCCTTCCTGTTACTGGTGCTGGAAATAGATGGATAGTCACCGCCGTAGACCATATGACACGCTACGCCGAGACAACTTCAGTAGCTACTGGTTCAGCATCGGAAGTTGCTGACTTCGTCCTTCAGGCCATAATACTACGTCATGGTGCACCTCGTGTACTTCTGAGTGACCGTGGAAAGGTGTTCTTATCACAGCTTTTAGGTGAAGTTCTTCGCGTTTCTGGTACCACACACAAGATGGCGTCTAGCTACCATCCTCAAACAATGGTCTGACCGAGAGATTTCATCGAACCCTTGCCGACATGATCGCCGTATACATTCAACCGGACCACAGAAACTGGGATAAACTTCTACCGTTCCTCACTTTCGCCTACAACACCGCTGTTCAGCGCACAACAGGCTACTCACCGTTTTATCTCGTTTACGGACGTTCACCTACTTTCTTTATCGATGTTTCCTTCTTCACCAGCAATGGCCCTACATCACCATCTTCTTGCGAAGAATATATTTCTCGCCTTGCCCAGTGCCGCCAGCGCGCTCGTATGAACACGGAAGCTACGCAACAAGCAAGGAAGGCCGTCTACGACACCTCTCATCGTGTGGTATCATTCCGACCGGGTGACGAGGTGCTGCTATTGACACCAATTCGCACACCTGGTCTCTGCGACAAGTTCCAGCCTCGATTCATCGGCCCATATGTTGTTTTAGAGCAGACTTCACCTGTCAACTATCGTGTGACGCCTCTTGTCGTGCCAACTGACCGCCGTTACCGCAGCACCGAAATTGTACACGTTTCCCGCATGAAGCTTTTCACGCGGCGTTCCTCGTCACCTTGACTACCCGCCCGCAGCGGCCAGGCTGGCCGCTTCCACGAGGGGGGAATCAGTGTAGGCATCTATTATGCGCTTCATCATCATCTGAACAGCAGTCAATCATCATCATATGTTCTGGCTGACAATCATCATCTGCTTGGCACGAGCGCTTCTTTGTCGGGTCTGTTGCGCTTGTTCGTTCCCGAGTTCACGGCCAATAAACCTCGCTACAACCGAGTCGTCATAATATATATATATATATATATATATATATATATATATATATATATATATATATATATATATATATATATATATATATATATATATATATATATATATATATATATATATATATATATATATATATGCGCACACTGTCGTTTTCGGCTGGTCATGCGGTACCGCAGTGGCGAGGTTCCAAGCAAGCGCCGCTGGGACGCCTTTCCGCATTAGATCAGGTGGCGTGATTTCGCACCTACCACACTTGCGCTGTGATGGCTCGATTTCAATGTGACGTGATTATTAACCTCTGGAGTCGTGGCGTATTATAACCGCTCGTCTAATTAGTAAGACATGCTGTACGACCTAACAGCCATGAAATATTGGAAACATAGGAGACACGACTGGCTAGATTTGTGAACCGTTCTCGGGAATATCGCTGTCACAGTGCTTTTAGTAATCAAGTCAGACACTTTTACCGAGAGCAGTGCCGATATAATCAAGATTGCCGCCGTGGTAGCGCCTCGGTTGCTGACGGGCCTCGGCTGCTGACCTGAAAACACGGGCTTGATTCTGACCCTGGCAGTCGCGTTTCGATAGTGGCGAAATGCTAAAGCCCCGTGTTCATAGATGTAGGGTCCACGTTAAAAAACCTCAGACGGCCGAAATTTTGCAGAGCCCTCCATTAAGGCAGACGTCATAAAAATATTGTTACGGGGTATTGTGCGTGAGCTCGCCGTTGCAGAGTAATAGGCGAAGAAGCAGCTGACATGCCGCATAGAAAAGCTGATACACTTAATTGTCCAAAGTTTCTTCGGGCATTTAATAGTATTTATTGTGTCATATAAATGTTCACTGAGTACAGTCTCTCCCTCTTTCTTAACGCCGGCATGCGCGTATGCCTGTGTGAGAGAGAGTCTAAACGAAATTTGGATTATCAGAGATTCAAGTCCACAATTTCCATTCAAGGTAACAGATAACTGCCGAATTAGCTTGACATGTGAATATTGCTTTACTTCAGCCCCACTGAAGTTTAACACGATTGCCCTCTAACTCTTCTCTACAGCAATATAGAAAAATAGCAAACTTATGGCTCTGCTTCAGGGGTACTGGCCGTTACGTTAGATGACCTTTCAATGATTCAGGTCTGAAGGCTACGCGTTGAGGGTGTAGAGGCCGCCGAATTGTAAGAGCTGTCTGCTGGAGTGCTGTTATCCAGTCGAGGTGGCCAAGTGACCCTGAATATCCAAAATTCTGCACGTTCATTGCACCTGCCGTGAAGTTGGCGCGACCACCACTCCTCTTGCTTACGTAATGAAAACGAGCCTGTGGACAGGGAATTCTAACTTACGACACACAACTCATAAGATCAGCATTCCAGGCCACTGGTTCGGTTCATTCCTTAGACATAGCATGGTTAACAATATGCGTACCACAGTGCATATGAGGCCAGTGAGTTTTGTGTGATATGCCTGTGTTAGTAAGCTTTGAGGCCGAAGGGAAAGTCAGGTGTTCGGCCATATAGGCAGGGCTCCGTGAAAATGTGTCAGGAGCACGTGTTTTTGACAGGTTGTCCGCCTGGCTGAACAGCTCCCCGCTTTGGAACCAAGTGCAGAATGCAGATTGCCTATGATGGCAAAGCGCAAGGTCAACCTATATTGAACTCCTGTGCACTTGCAAAATAGTGTGGATTTTATTTCAAAGCATGCTTCCTGATGAGAACACTAACGACTGCTGTAATGTGAAAATTCTTTTTATTTTTTATATCACTCTTACTTATAGCTTATGATCAATGGATTCTAGTAATGCACGTAAAGAACCCTAACTATCACAAAAACAGAAACAAATAGTGTGATAGTTATACAGCAACAACAATATTAAGAATAGCAACAATAACAGTAGTAACAATAATACCAATAACAATAATAATTCAGTTAACTCGACTCATAACACGCTATTTAATAGTATGACATTGTTTTTGCGTGGCAAATATTGTGGTACAATTTAAAGGCGTTCGTCCTTAGTGTGCATTACTTTACTGACTCGCTTCACCGACTTTCCATAGGGACGTTAAAGGGACGTTAAAAGCACATGCAAGATAGTTTACCAGAAAATTTCATCCTCTACCATCCTATTGATGACCTCACTTCGATGAAATTCCCATGACGTAGCGTGTTATGATTTTGGTGGAGAGTTCTCAGACTGCGTGCCTCATGGTTATGGTGCTACTGATTTCATCTCTCGTTCGCTGTGGCGCAGTCGCTCTTTTGCTGACGGTTCGCACATCAAGGCAACAGTATATCGGTAGAGAATATTCGCTGAGTCATTACAGCCACTGACGTTACATTGTTTCTGATGACGTGGCAGGAGTGTGAACTTGAGTTTTGCCGTTCGAGATAACGCGGATATCTCACGTCGCCGAAGGAGAATCAATAAGCCAAGACGACTGAGCGATTTTGCGGCCCGCGCAGGTATCTATCAGCGCTTGGTGGTTTGGTAGTGGTGGTTCCAAATTACCGGGTCGGACCACTCGGTTTCATCAGTTCCGGCGACGAAGACGAACCTGGCAACCTAGCCCTGCTGGACCAGATGATGGCTCTGGACTGGGTGCGCTCGCACATCGACGACTTCGACGGCGACCCCGGCTGCATTGTGGTCGCAGGAGCCGGATCGGGGGCTTCTTCGCTGGCGCTGCACCTCCTGAGCCCCGAGGCGCAGGGCACAATGACGGACCTGCGGCGTTTCATGCTGCACAGTCCATCGGCCTTCGGCCCTTTCGCCGACCAGAGCGTGCCCAGACGAGGTAGCCCATTTTCCACTCTCTTCGAGTACGTAACGTTTACTTTGCTTTTTACTTAGTTTAGCACCGTTTCGTCTCCTGTCAGCAAGAAATGTGAGGAAGGGTTAGCAACCTGTGTATCCATGCTCGGCGATTGAAACTCTGAATTCGGTGTGCCGTGCCCGGGTGCTGGCGGTGAAAGATATAGTGAGGGCGATATGGTACATGGCGCGTAATGACTCTATCCGCTAAATGGCCGTTTAATGTGCGATTTCTTGTGGCGACGGTGTAGTGCTGCAATTCGTCGTGACGCTCCAGCTTCATACAATTTGCGCGGCAAGTCAGAGCAGAGTTCTGAAGCCACGCTAAGCAGCACTCAGCCGGTGCCCCGAAGAACCACAGACTGAACAATCCTTTAGCTGTTTCAGCCACCATGCGTCACAGACACTCTCGCGCTCACCGTCACTCTCCCTGCCAGCAGCCAGAGTGTAGATTTATTGATCATCATCATCATCATCATCATCATCATCATCATCATCATCATCATCATCATCATCAGCGTGACTACGTTCACTGCAGGACAAAGGCCTCTCCCATGTTCCGCCAGTTAACCCGGTCCTGTGCTTGCTGCTGCCAATTTATACCCGCAAACTTCTTAATCTCGTCTGCCCACCTAACCTTCTCTCTCCCCCTAACCCGCTTTCCTTCTCTGGGAATCCAGTTAGTTACCCTTAATGACCAGCGGTTATCCTGTCTACGCGCTACATGCCCGGTCCATGTCCATTTCCTCTTCTTTATTTCAACTATGATATCCTTAACCCCCGTTTGTCCCATAATCCACTCTGCTCTCTTCTTGTTTCTTAAGGTTACACCTACCATTTTTCTTTCCATTGCTCGCTGCGTCGGATTTATTGATATGTGAGATTTAACGTCCCGAAACCACCATATGATTATGAGAGACGCCGTAGTGGAGGGCTCCGGAAATTTAGACCACCTCACCCTGGGGTTTTTTAGCGTGCACCCAAATCTGAGCACACGGGCCTACATTTCCGCCTCCATCGAAAATGCAGCAGCCGAAGCCGGGATTCGATCCGGCGACCTACGGGTCAGCAGCCGAGTTCCTTACCCACTAGACCACCGCAGCGGGGAAGCCAGACTGTCGAGTTCCATTCGCTGAGCACTGAACACATACGTATAAGCATACCAAATAGCATAGAGTTTCCTATGCGTACACTAGAGGGAACTCTGGCACTATAGTGTCCATGGCAGCTGCAAAGCATGGCGCTTCAGCGAGCATGGGAATTCTGTGTAGTACATGGATATTCCAGGTCTTCGTACTTTGCATTCTTTTTGGCTTAGCGTAGCTTGAAGCTGCTTTGTCACGAAACAGTAATTGAAAAACGCTTAGCCGTTGCGCTTCACCGCCTCAATCTTCTGGTTTACCACTTCAAATCGGGTCACGGAGTTCAAGAAGGCTTGTTCTTTTTTTTTCGATACAAATTTGAAACACAGCAATAAACGAAGCCACAAGCGCAATTCGAGGCCCGCAAGTACGAAGAATATAGGCAAATGAAAGTACTACCCATCATTCCCATGGTTGCTGAACGATCGCAGTGCCAGACTGCACTATATATATAGTTCATTTTAGGAAACTCTATGCCAAATAAGAATGGTTGGTGCATTCCTTAAGTTGCAGGAAACGCAACGTTGACATTACTGTGTGATGCGCAGTCTCAGCAGAGCCTGGTTCCCTTGGCTCGCAGCGTGGGATGCAGCGGCACCGGCACGCCCGAGCTCCTTCGATGCCTGCGTACAGTATCGGCCGACACGCTTGCGTTGATCGAGCCTGCACAGGGCGGGCCATTCGAGCCCACCTTCGAGAGCCAGTACCTTCCGGACACGCCGTCGGGCTTGCTCCTCAAGATACCCCCTTTCCGAAAGCAGGCACGTAGCACACGTGTGTTCGTTTCTAAAACGCTTCAACGAAAATTATAGCTCCACGTATTGTGAAACGTAGCTGGGCCCCGGGAGTTTCTTCGGTGCGGGAATACGCTGTTTAGGGTTCATCCGTGCAATGTTAAACTAAATTATTTTGTCAGTAATGGCGCCACATGACCATGTACCAAGCGTTATAGCCGGCGTGATATCAATAACCGTAATGTTAGCATATTTACCCCTCCCCCTACCCAGAAAAAGAGAAAAGAAACTTCAGATCTTGTTGAAATGCGGCGAAGTTTAGTTTCGTGCCACATCAAAGCATGTTGTCGAAGACTGGCGTAGCTTTGCACGCAACTAACCTTACAGAGGAAGAAACAGTCAAGCCGGCTTTCTTGAGTCATTAGTTTCGGTTATTTTGCCTCCCTTCTTTGGAGGTGCACATCAAATCACACACGTGGCTGCCAACGCCTAAAAAGGCAGTAGCAGAATGCGTGTGCAATGAGGCGCCACCTTTTCGAGGGCCATCTTTCTTGTATAGGTGTGGTTCACCGCGGGTACAGCCTACACTAGTCATCAATGCCTCTCCTGCTCTGACTCTGGACGGCGTCTTCCTTCTACCTTCCCTAGCTGCTGTAGAAACAGCTTATAGGCTTATGCAGTCCTGCAGCGCTCACTGTATATGTGGTCGTTGATGCCATGATGCAGTACATCTCTGCGCCGCCTTTACATCGTGGCGCCATCTCTGTACAAAGCATGAAGAGGATAAACACAGATGGCGTTGGTATGCAGTTGAGAAAGGAACTTAGTTGAGAAGCGTGTGTGGGACGGCACTCTAAATAATTCGCGCATAACTCCGCTGTTTTCAATAGCGCATGGAATTCCTCGATCGGTTAGGGACCTATTCGGCAAACGAGCAGCATATGCTGTCATTGCCAGCAAAACTAGAAGAAATCCGCGAAGGAAGATTCGCGCTGAGAAGACATCAAGAGCTGCATCTTATTTTGTTCGAGGGGTGTTCGAACCCAGACCTTCCAACGGGGTAAAAGGTGTTTTACCACAGAGCCTAGCAATTCATGTCATTCCATCTCACTCTATTGGCTTCTAGGTGCTGTTGGGCAACGTTGCAGACGAGGGGCTCCAGGAGTTCAGTGCTTTCAATGAAACCCTGCCCTTCGGGATCTCTCCGGATGTGGTGCTTCACAAATTCTTACCGCGGGAGCTTGCCAAGCATGGTGTGCACGACGCGGAATCGTTGCTGCGTGTTTACCTCAACGACACGACAGGTACGGCTGCCGAAGAACCACTTCGAACATTCAGGCAATGAAATAGCTGCCTCGTGTTGCAGGTATCTACAATTAACCTTTTCTACAGCGATATTTAAGAGCCACAGACAGTTTATTCTGACTCTTTCTAAAAAAAAAAAACTTCCGAATGTTCAACAGTTCTTCAGCTGAGTTGCATCTATAGTTGCAATAGGTGGAAATCGTAATTAAAAATGACGCACCAATTGCAGCCCTTGTAATGCATATTCATCAGCGAAACACAAAATACCTGAGTGCATCAAAGCGCTACTCATAGGATGTGAAGCCTTCAAACTGAATTATACTCGTAAACAGGGGCTGAAGGCCCGTATGCTCAAATTTGGGTGTACTCTAAAGAACCCCAGGTGGTCAAAAGTTTCTTAGCCCTCCACTACGACGTCTCTCATAATCATAAGGTGGTTTTGGGACGTTAAACCCCACATCAATCAATCAAAAACTCGTAAACGGGAATGGATGCTGGAGCTTTACTGAATTACGTGTTTTACACTAAAGGAATAGATGAGGGAACCACTCGGCTTCGGGCATGCTATTCGGTGCCCGTTTCGTTAGTGAAAAATATTTTTGGGAGCAACAGTTGGTAGAGCGAATTTCCCATATCTTTGTAGCAATCAAGGAATCATTTTTTTAATATCCATTGTACTGCTAGCTAGCATAACACTGCTGGAGCACTGTGGCTTCTTTGCTGTGCGCTTTCTTAGCGATATTGATTAAAATGTAAGCACGTGACGCTTATAACTGAAGAAACTGTAAAATATTTTTTTGGTCACTGTTGCAAGACGACTGGTCATATTTTTTTTTCGACGAAGTTTTTTTTATAAGTATCGGCCAGCCATCGGCACTGGTAAAATGGTGATACATGCAACGCCAGGTAGAAGCCTTCCCTTTCAAACAAATCTTAGCGATGGTGTGACGTCACATTTGACGTTTCTGCTGGGGTCACGTAACTAGCCTGTGATGGTGACGGGAAGTTCCGCTGCGGCACTCTTTAAGCTAAGAAAATGTGCGACACTAACAGTAGCGTTACATATAATACACGAAATCCAGATACAGTGCACTATTAGCGGTAGTGACTTATAGCCTGGTCGCTACATAAGTCACATTCTTCTAAGTGTGCCTGCTTGTACATAAGCTGTAGCCCGTCGCTAAAGCCTATGTACAGCAGTCAGCACCTTTAAGTCGAACGCTTCACTGCGTGTCCTGCAGCAGTTTGATTGACGCTCATACCACGTACGTTCGGGTTCTGTTGCCAAGATGCTAACCATACATGCCTACATACTATCCAAGCCTACCAAGGTATTATTTCAGCAAAAGCGCCCAGCACTTTGCGGCTGGCATCAATCAAACTAGCTCTGGCCACGCATCGAAGTGTTCGTGTTAAAGGTGTTGATGGCTGTAGGTGCGTTTTTTAGACGATGTGGTGCACAAATCCAATTTCAGTTTTGATCCCAGTGTATAAACGACCACTTCTAGCCTACCGGCGTTTCCAGAAGCCTTCAATTGTGCAGACATACGCAAACACTATATACGTTTGTGAATAGCATACAGGCTTATGTGGATGCTTGCTGCTATGTATAAAGCACGGCGATGTAGTTTCACATTAAACGGAATAACCGTCCGCCATATTACTGACCCGACTCATTTCCAACGCCATAAGCAAATCGTTAGACGTCATTTCATTCACTTCTTCACGGTCTTGTTTCTTTCTTTTTTTTCTCGTTTGCTGGCGAGTTAGTGGCTCTCATCCACAGAGCGCTGGCTTTAGCACGTCCGCGCTGTTGACCCAGCGTGGTACAAGCGCAGCACTCGGCCGACTCGTTTCTCTATCGCGCTCGCCTCACGACCGAAAAGCAGGAGCAAAAAAAAAATAAGTAGAACGGGAAAAGGCCGTTTGCGTGGACAGCGTTGCCTGACCTTATATGCTTCCACCCGCGCGCCCTCGGCAACACGCTAGTGCCTGCGCAGCCATTAGAAAGGCACAGCAGTTTTCGTTGCCTGCCGGGAGTATTTTCCCAAAGGAGCGTCAACAAGTGCTGTGAGGTTACGTTCAGTCAGATTTGAAAAATAAAGAAAGTAATGTTTGTTGTTGCAAACACGACTGCTCTACCATTCTTTGCCTTTTACTTCACTAGTGGTGTTTCTGCGCAGTTTTGCAAAAGAAAAAAACATCAATATACGTGTCAATTTTGTGTCTGTGTCACTTTGACCGCCAGGAACCAAAATGTTTGCTGCACTTGGCAAACATTTCGGTGCGTTCCGATGGCAACCACTGTATGCGTCGTCTTCACCTAAGCGCACAAAGTCCTCAGCAGCGTGATGTAGTAGAATATATGTGTCTTTTTTTTATTGGAGGGACTGCTTCAAGAGGCTACCATTTCCACCAGCATGTAGTTGGCAGAGCAATTCTATTCTGTTTCAATTTTTTTTTCGTTTTGTTTGTTTCTCATGCACAACCCACTCTAAGCAGCCTACGAGTGTATCTTAACGGTATGTGCGCCGGCGTCATGGTATGATATATTGAGCATTCAACAAGCGATCACTTCAGGTGGGGCTAAAAAACGCGTCTTCCTTGTTTGCATGTGACGCTTTCACTGTGCCTGCCTGTTTTTTGACTAGTTAACGGCGTGCATCCGCAACTGAAGTATGGGTGCTGTATTCAGTCAGGGCGCGTACCGCGTTCAATCGACACTATCCCTGCTGAATAGGCAAAGTAGGGCTCCCAGATTATGCAGTCGTGTTGACAGTAAAATCAGCGAATGAATTGTTTCTAGTGCGGAACTAGAAAGAAATTGTCCAACAACACACAACAGGAAGACTGACCGTCCGCGTTAACTTGGTCCTAGTGTGGAGGTGGTAATTCCGCTGAACTCCACTAGAGCTCCTAGTGGAGCGCACTGGGTTATTCTCTTTTGGGCGGTTCCACGTTATCTCGCTCGACAAGCACCGCAAGCTTTCGGAGCGCTCGAGCGTTTTGGTACCGCTCTAACGGATTCAAGGCAGTGGGTCAGAAATGCAATCGCCAGAAAACCTAGGTTTTCAGCAATCGGCAATCGCCAAAAAACCTAGCACCGGATGCGTCAGCTGACGCATCCGGTGCTGATCATGAAACGTTTCGAATGTGACAGTATATCTAGTAACTGCGCCGGAATGTAGAAATGGAGAAAAATTCTAGAATATCGTGTAAGACATGACAGCGCACGTCTGTCACCAACGTATTGAAGTTGAAGTTGAAGTTGAAGTTTATTATTATTAACAGACTGGCGATACATAAAATGAAGAAGACGTTTTACAGACTAGGGTCCCATAGTCCGAAGACTGTAGGGGGACCCACGATGAAGAAAGCATGTAAACAAGTGCAAGGGCAAATGGCAAGACAATGTAATATTAACAAAACAATGCTATAAAGCAACTATAGAAAAATAACGAAGCGATAAAACATAGTAATAATCACAACTTCAACAAATACAATCGCTAAGTCAAAATGCAAAAAGGACAACATAGAATAATTTATAGTGATAGAAGATATAATTTCAAAGTTTTTTTGAATGTATACAAGTTGGATAGAGACTTTATATTTGGTGGAATAGAGTTCCATAATGAAATAGCTGTGAATGACAAAGACTTTATGCCGTAATTAGTGCAAACTCGGGGTAGTAATAAATTTCGCTCCAATGCGAAGCGAGTGCGGTTAGTGTTTATCAATAAGTCACAGTTGATGAGGTCGAAGGGTAGCCGACGGTGAATTATATTAAAGAACAAACAAGTACAATGAAATTCAAATAACCTACTAATACACAGAATATTGTATTGTCTAAGCAAAGAAATAGCGTTCGAACGACGAGGGCTGAAAGTGATAATGCGGATTGCTTGGTTCTGTATATGTTGTACAGATGAGATGTACGAGTGATAGGTGTTGGCCCAGGTAATTATGCCATAGTTAAAATGACTATGAATAAATGAGAAGTAGAGCGATAGTAATGCATTAGTGGAAAAATATGGCCTAGCTTTAATCAATGCACGAATACCAAAAGCAGTCTTTTTCTTTATGTCTAATAAGTGTAGACCAAAATTAAGGGTTATGTCTAAACGTACACCGAGAAAAGAAACAGTATCACAAGCATGGATAGTATTAGGACCCATAGTTATAGCAGCAGAAGTTAACAAATGTTTATGAGCAGACCTGAAAACCATGAACTGAGTTTTAGAGGGGTTTATCGTTAGATCATTGTTGTTGCACCATAAAACTACATCGCTGAGTACAGAGTTTAGTTTTGATATTAAAGATGGAACTGTTTTGGCCTTACATGATACTGTGGTGTCGTCAGCGTACAAAACACAATGTGCAGAGCAAATGACGTCAGGGAGATCATTAATATAAATAATGAATAGGAGGGGGCCAAGAATGGACCCCTGCGGAACACCTTGATTGGTAATCTTAATGTTAGAGTAAGAGCCACCTGTAAAGACCACATTTTTTCGGTTAAACAGGTAACTTTTCAGAAAATTTAAAGCTGGTCCAGTAATACCATAAGAATCTAACTTATTGAAAAGAATGGAGTGATTGAGCGTGTCAAAGGCTTTAGTTAAATCCAAAAGACTGAACCCGAGAAGTTACCAGTATCAATGGAATGTTTGATGAAGTCTGTCAAAGAAAGCAGAGCAAGGTTAGTGGAGCTTCCATGACGAAAACCAAACTGGGAAGGTTTTATAACATTAAATTTCGAAAGGTAAGAACTAAGACGCTTTACAAACAGTTGTTCAATTAGTTTACTTAATGATGGAAGAATAGAGATAGGCCTATAATTTTTAATATCATCTTTATCGCCTTTCTTGAAAATTGGTATAATTTTTGCACGCTTTAATGAGTCAGGAAAAGAACCTTTAGAAAAAATGAGATTGATTATATGGGTTAAGGGCTGAGAAATTATATGAGCCACCATCTTTAAATGGTGTGCACAAATGTTATCCAGACCGGGAGAAGTATTTTTAAGATTACGAATAGCTGATACTATTTCGTCAGAGGAAGAGGGAAAGAGAAAAAATGAGTGAGGTAAGCGCGGCAAACTAGGTGAAGGAACATTTTTTGAGGAATTGGATGACGAACAAAAATACTCAGAAAACGCATTAGCAATGTCGTCAGAGTGACAATAAGTAGCGTTATGGTGAGTGATTTTCGTTATGGGCGAGTTAATTGTAGGCGAATTCAAGAATTCATTGAGCAGTTTCCACTGTTTTTTATGATTATTTTTGTTCTTTATAAATTCCTCATTATAATAGCGTTTCTTGGCAAGTTTTAGCAAAGAGTTAAGAGTATTACAGTAACTTTTATAGCGAAGTGCCAAGGCGATATTAAAGGGTTGTCTCTTAACTTTCCTATAGAGGTTATCCTTCTTTCTGAGACTGGTTAATAAGGCAGATGTCATCCAAGGGCTTTGAGGCTCTTGGTATTTCTTGTTATAAGCAATAGTGTGAGTACTAGAAGAAACAGCTTCTGAGAATAAAGAAGAAAATGTATCAACCGCTGATTGTGGATCAGCTTGCGAGCTAACTTTGGACCAGTTACAGTTTGAAATTGCACTGATGAAATTGTCTTTGTCAAATCGCAGTGCAGTAAAAATTGTGTTGATTTGAGTTATAGGGCTATCAAATGTGATGAAGATGGGATAATGATCGGTAATATCGACATCAACCACCCCGGACACTCTAGGATTAAAGTTACAAAAAGCATGATCCAAAAGAGTGTTAGAGCCACGTGGGTTGGATCTAGTGTACGAATCGATGATGCACGTTAACCCGTACCCTAGAAGGCAATCATTATAGGCACTTGTAGTTCTTGAATGAGAATCTAATAGGTTAATGTTGATATCGCCTACCAACAATACATTTTTGTTCTCCATTGATAGAGTGTTCAGGACAGTCTCAAGAGCCGATAAGAACTGGATAAATGAGGAGGAAGGTGAGCGATAGATGCAAGCGAGTATTAAATTTTTTTGATTATGAGTAACCTGTGGCTGTTCAATTTCTATCCAAACTGATTCGCAATAGGGGATGGTAATATGAAGGTCCAATCTGCGAATATAATTAATGCCAGAAGAAATGAAAATGGCTGAGCCACCATAGTTGTCAGATGCACGATGACAGTATTCAGATTTGTACGACGTAAAACCATATAGATTAGCATCCACATCGGAAAGCCAGGTTTCTGATATACATATAAATGAAAAAGAGTGTCTGGTAGAGTGAATGAAACTATTAATGTTGTCGTGATTCCTTCGCAAGCTACGTGCATTGAAATGAACTAGAGAGCGTTGATTGTCAGATAGAAACGAAATAAATTCTTCAGCAGAAAAGGACATGATTGACAAGTATTCGTCAAGGACAAAAAAAAAATTAGAAAAAGAGAGAGAGAGAGAGAATTGTCCCTAGAATCGATAACACGCGACTTAGTTGAAAACCCGAAGGTCGTTCTCAGACTTTAAGATGAACACTTTGCTACTGCTAGTCTGACGAGCCTTAATCTGGCAGTTGTCCGTCCATAAAAACTGCCAGCTCTTCTCCTTCTTAAGAGCTAGTGCCTTAGAAAACAAGCGTTTGTTCTCGACAGTAAGGTGATCATTAACGAACACAGCGGCATCAGTGGAACCAGAAAAGCCAATTTGGCCAGTACGTAGACGGGCTTTGCGAGCCCTACGAACAAACTCGCCTTTCTTCTCGCGGCAACAAAAGCGAGCGATAATGTTCTTCTCCTTAGACTTTGTGGCCACACGATGGACAACGTCCAAGTCAGAGGGAGAAACAGAGCAGCCGATGGCATTGCCAATGGTTTTCACGATTGCAAGGCAATCTTCATTTTGCGTGACCGGAACACCCTTTATCTCAACATTATTCAGTCGAGAATACTGTTCTAGATCAGCAACTTTTTTTTCCAACGCCTCATTTTTTGCGGAGAGTGCGCGGTTCGCAGTCACCAGCTCGTCCTGCCTCACCCTCATGTCATCAAAAACATCACTTAAGTGCTGAACACTTTCCGCCAGAGTTGCGCATTGATCAAAGCCGAGTTCATGTAGCTTGTTAGAACACTTAGAAACAAGGTCTGCAACCACACGTTCAAGCCTACCATCGAACAGACTTTCGAGCGCGTCTATTCGCTTAGCAAGCTCGGTATTAGTAGGCATAGTGCAGTATACAATGTAACAACTTGGCAAAAGCAGCAGTCACGGCTAAGAAGTAAAAAAAAAAAAAAATAAGAAAAGACAACTTGAATACCACAAACCTGCACAAAGAATGCGTAGTTTTTAGATGCGAGTCAACCAGCCGTAACGCTGCTTGCCAAATGAAGACGAAGCACTTGCGACGTCCTTATATATATATTTTTCATTTTTTTTTTTTTTTTGGCAAGCAGCGTTACGGCTGGTTGACTCGCATCTAAAAACTACGCATTCTTTGTGCAGATTTTCAGCAAGTTTCCGTCGCAGCCTGTTCCCGTCGCTGCCGTTGCGGCCTGTTTCTTCTGGGCCAGCGTGGTTTTCGACAGGATTTAGTGCGCCGGCGCAGTCTGCTCTTCGAATCAGCGTTTTTATCGTTGAATTCATCGACGAGATCCGACGCCCGCATTTATCGTGCTGCCACGAGATCTGCTGTTACCGAGCAGCGCTTGGTGCTGCCCCTTCAGGCCTATATAAGGACGTCGCAAGTGCTTCGTCTTCATTTGGCAAGCAGCGTTACGGCTGGTTGACTCGCATCTAAAAACTACGCATTCTTTGTGCAGATTTTCAGCAAGTTTCCGTCGCAGCCTGTTCCCGTCGCTGCCGTTGCGGCCTGTTTCTTCTGGGCCAGCGTGGTTTTCGACAGGATTTAGTGCGCCGGCGCAGTCTGCTCTTCGAATCAGCGTTTTTATCGTTGAATTCATCGACGAGATCCGACGCCCGCATTTATCGTGCTGCCACGAGATCTGCTGTTACCGAGCAGCGCTTGGTGCTGCCCTTCAGGCCTATATGAGTATTACATGTCTTGGGCGCGCCTTAGGTTAGTTTTAGCCTTACCAAGTCCCGCCAGGACATCTATCAAGCGCATCCAGAGTATTTCGGGCATATAAGCTTCTTTTCTACAAGCCGCCTTGACTAAATCGGCTTCACGAGCAAAGCTCGGCACACTTGTTTAAAGCACCGGAGCGAATAATTCCGGACTGTTTGAACACTGTTCACTGACAACGTGTGCCTCGAAGTAGCCGAAGTTTACGCATGCACTGCCATTTGTGATGCAAGATTAAACGTGGGTGATCTCATACCAGGCGTAGTCGGCAGACGTCGCCAGTACAGTCTAGATCGCGCTTCTCGAGCTTTCTATACAAGCGAGTTGAGCTTATTGTCATCATTGTCAACACATATTTCCATCCTTAAATCAATTAAAATGTAGTACTACCGCAGCAATATTGTAAGTATTATTTCAGAGGATTAAAAGAACGCACCTCCATGTAGTGTGTTCAAAGAACTTTCGTTCCAGGGGTATCGTGGGACGAGACGCAGAGCTTAGTTTCTCACCTGCTCGGCGACCTCCTTTACGTGTGTCCCACCACAGTCCTGGCACAGTACCTGAGCTGGGGATTCGAGAACCAGGTGACTCTGCTCACGAATGCAATATTTTTTTGTTGGCAGAGCACGCCTCCTGTCTCGCGGTGCTCATTGTCACTTCACCTTTTCACGCGATGCACCGAACTTTGACTATATTGTACAATACCACGCGACAAAGTGAGATTAGCAGCAAGAGTCGATTGCATGCATTTACGTTTTCTCGCGAAATCTGACTGTCGAGCATGAAGACAAGGAACCGATGAGGACTCGTTTTAGTGCCTCTTATATGCTGTTAACCTAGCTGTGAGATACCAAGAAGTCCTCCGTCACACACCTGGCTCCATAACATGGCTGAACAAAAAAAAAAGATTATTATTTTTTTCGATAGGCTCGTTTGCTCGTTACCCACAACCGAAGAAATCCAACATACAGCTATGCCAGCTAAGGCATAGACTAAGTAATTGTTGTCTTTAACTGTAGCGTAGTAATAATGACGTAAATTTGAACAAATTAGAGGACAAAATTGCAATTTTCGGTGGTGAGGCCTCAACCCACAACCTTCTAACTGCCTGTTAGATGCTCGACGAAGGAAACTACGAGTTTAATTTTTTCGTCTTTAACGTGATTCTCAGTGCTATTCCAAGCAACCCGTTTAGTTTTTTTTTTTTTTCAAACGTAGAAAAGTGTATTTCATCAGCTGATAGTTTTAGAGGTTGACATAGGTTCTCCACACTGTCGCACTCAAATTTATTGTAAACCTCTTTGACATTTAGTGACCATGTTAGGCAATATGGATTGAAGGGAAGTGATAGTGGAGGCCATGAGTAAGCGGTGTTCTGGCTTACCGTATTTGCCTGTACACTACCAGCGCAGGACAACTCTGCATAATCTTGTCTAGCCTTGGTTAAATTACGTCCAATGTAGGCTCGCGTTTGCTACTTCTGACTGATGTTGGGTAATGTAGACCGTCGGCTGTTACATCTCGGCAACATCGTCTACATTCAATCAAAATTCGTCAACAGTCTCGAAAATGCATTTACTGAGTTGGTGCTGCATTATTTTTTTGTAACTGTTAAAAAAATAACCACACAGATGGAATGTCCTGCATTTTTATTATGCTTACTGAATCACTCAAACCTGGAAATGATGCAGCATAGCCTATCAAACGCTGCTGCATCACTTTTCTTCTGTAAAGCGTGCTTTGTCTTATGCATTTTAGTACGGTGGCGAAGTAAAAAGTTTTGATAATTGTGAAATTTAATGGAATATATATAAATTAGTGTGGTTGATATTTTGATAGTTAATCAATTGACATAGCGTGAAATTAAAACTCTTTTTCTAAAGACATCTTTTATAGACTTTATTGAAGATTTAACGTAGTCGTGTAAACGCGAAAAGCTACTGCGGTACGGACAACAGAAAATAATTATTAGTATAGAAGAGAAAGAAGGGAAACAACTACATATGCGAAAAATTGTCATTTCTTTTTGTAGCAAAAATTATTTAGTGCATCGTTTTCAGACACATAATTCGCAAGAACGTTTCTCTACATTGTACACATGCGAAATCAATGGTGGCACCTCTCAAGGTTAAAATCACAAACTTACAGCTGCGTATATTGTGGTTTGCCTTTTATGCATGCCTGTATCACTAGAGCTGATTCTACATTTGGCAGGTGTTGGAGCAAGCTAACGTGCGCATGCTCTTCGCATAAATGACTGCACTGCCGTAATTTGAGCAATACACTTCGCAGAAAATCTCGTTTACAAAAATAAAATGTATTTATATAGATCAAAACAGTGCAACGCTGATAAAGGTTGAATGTGGACAAGTTCCCAAATATTTGCGCTGCCGTTAGCGTCTTCGCACAATACATTCATCACTTCACAAACGGTGAGGTAGGTGTAGCACAGGCATTGTCCTATTATTACATCCCCCAGTCAATGCATTTAAAGAGTAGTGGTATGTGTGCCACAGCGTCGTTAGCAAAATGCGAGCCTATTTTTTCAGACAGATTCTATACAGGAGTCAGCATACCTCAACACTCGCAGGTGTACACGTTCCGTATGAACCAGCGGTTGTCATACAGTGCCACCAAAACTATGACTCGGTACGAAGACGTCGACCTTTTGTTCGGCCTTCCACTGCGTCAACCGAGAGCCTCGGAGGCTGAGAAAAGCTTCAGCCGGGAGATTATTCGAGCTTGGAGCAACTTCGCAAAGTTCGGGTAAGCTAAGCTGTCAAGCGTCAGAAGTGGCGCGTTTACTATACATCACTCTTGCTAATGCTCTTACGCGGCACGAGCTAGATGGAGCTACGCTTTCTGTATGGCATCGGAAGCAGTAGCACTTCAAAGCGAAGAAAATACAGAACTGACGTGACACAAGGGAGGCGTTATGCAACACATTCTCGTGACCTTAGGAGTGACTCGCACGCAGTTTTCCAAGGCGGTATGACGCTGAATAAATCGATGAGCTCAGTTTCATAGAAGTATGCTGTTACCAGAAACGGAAGCTTCCGTTAGCACTGAGTGGTCAAGTACGCAACTGTCACTAAACATGTGCTTTTTGCGATTACATGGAGCGAAGCAATTGCAAGTCAGCTGATTCTATATAGCGAAACACGCGGTTTGGTGAATAGGTGCTGTTTATTTCAATTTTGATTAGCTTACAGTACAAGAATAAACTGCCGAAAATGAACTATCACCAACTAGCCCAAGTTTCCCTTCTTAATGCTTTAAGGTTTTCAGTGCTGTATTTCGCACTAGCGCCGATTGCTCTTGCACTGTATACGGTCATTCTTTAACATTGAAGTAGATCAGTATTTAAAATTAACAGATAAAACTTGTGTTGCCCAGTTATTTGCGTTGTAGCTGTGTAGAATTGCACCAGATGTCACGCCACGTGGATTGCAGAATGTGTGGGTGTTTTTAAGGTGTCCCTCATTACACAATGATATTCCACAAGTCATCATCGTTGTCGACGATCGCTGTTTGTGCGAGGAGACGCGTGTGCAACCGTGTATAGTTGCGCAGGTTGTGATGTAGTTCCTCAGTTTCACACCGGGTGTTCTGCTGTGCCGCCTGCGTAAAGTTTGGGTTCTTAGCCGCTGACAACTGACGGCAAAAATACTAAGATACTACTCATCAATGTAATCGGCCTTCTGATGATAGTAGCATTCCGTCGTTCTTAAATTCGTGTGCGCATTAAGACGGGCTGCAGCAGCGTAGCATAGCACCAGGTTTCCCGCAGAGTCAATTGTGTAAGGTCAGGGAGCTTTTTATATCCGTCATCATCATCATCATCATCATCATCATCATCATCAGTCTGACTACGCCCTCTGCAGGACAGAGGCCTCTTCCATGTTCCGCCAGTCAGCTCGGTCCTGTGCTTGCTGCTGCCATTTTACACCCACAAACTTCTTAATCACATCTGCCCATCTAACTTTCTGTCTCTCTCTCACCCACTTGCCTTCTCTGGGATTACAGTCAGTTACCCTTAATGACCAGTGGTTACCCTGCCCATGCACTACGTACTCAGCCCATGTTCATTTCTCCTTGACTTCGACTATACGATATCCTTAACCCTGGTTTGTTCCCTGACCTACTCTGTTCTCTTCTTTTCTCTTAAGGTTTCCCCTATCATTTTTTTTCCATCGCTCGCTCCGTTGTCCCCCATTTAAGCTGAATCCTCTTTGTAGGCCTCCAGGTTTTAATCCGTAAGTAACTACCAGCAAGATGCACCTGTTATATACGTTCCTTTTGAGAGTTAGCGGCAGATTACCATTCACGACTTGGGAATGCTTGCTGAATGTGCTCTACCCCATTCTTATTCGTCTAGTTACTTCAATCTCGTGGTTTGGCTGCGTGGTTACTACCTGTCCTAAGTACACGTAGTCTTTTAAAACGTCAAGTGCTCTGCTACCTATCTCGAAGCGCTGTTCTCTCTCAGGTTGTTTTACTTTACTTGCGTCCTCTGAAGAATAATTTCGAGACCTACCTTTCTGCTCTCCTTGTCTAATTCAATAATCTTGAATTGTGATTCATCCGCTGAGTTACCCAGCGTTGTCTGTCTGACGCATTACGTGGGGCCTTACATCGAGGAAAAAAATGTGGAGCTCACTAGGAGTTTCTCAGGTAATACATCTGGCGCTTATGGCCCACTCTGACTCACCAACACTTTTTTTCAATAGGACTCACTCGTATGCAGGTTCTATTGATATAGCCAGAGGGAAGCGGGAGGACGGCTGTTGAACATTTTTTCTAAAAATTTTCCGTTTTTCACGTGTATATGTGCACGTATAAAAACACACGCAATGACGTGCTTAAACTATGGTTGACTTCCCCTCCCATCCATCTACCCACACCCTAAAAAAAAGATTTTCTGGCTACGCTACTAACAGACTAAGTAAAAGATTTTCTAAGCTGAACTCAAACACAAACCCACGGGAATAATACTCACCGGAACTCACTCAAACCCTTTGGCCGATCTCAGCGAATGCGCGAGATTGCCGACCTATGCGTTGGACGTACAACCGGCAGTCAGTTTCGTGGTGTGTGGCAGATTATTGCGAGAGAAAGAATTGAGGAGAACTTTGATCTTATTGTTCCATGTTAGTTGGCGAATCACTGAGATGAAATGTAATGCATCGCTTTCGTTTCCTACATCGGTACGTTCCATACAGAAGCCTGCCCGTGGTGAATGATAGCTCGACCGGGACCACCATTGAGTGGCCCGTTCACTCGGACAGCGAGCATGTCACGGTCGACATCAGCGCCTCCGGATTCAACCTCGTTCCCGACGAGCACCGAGGTCACTGTCTCCAGATGCGGGCTCTCGCGGCCGCCGACGTCGTGTAAAACCACAACGCCGCGTAAACTCGACCACAAATGGACGCCTTATCGCGAAACTGATTTGGGGAGTACGTACGCCACTGTGGAGCGCTGGCGGCTTAGGGCCGTTCCACGCTCTCCCTGCACAGCCGCAACGCATGTGCCGGGACCCCTGACGCACGCAAGCGGGGGACAAATAATCCAATTGGCGACGCTCCTTCACCCTCTGCTTGGGTGTGGCAGGTGTGCCGGGACGTGCGCTACGGCTGTGCAGCTAGCGCATGGAACGGCCCCACCGAAAGCGTGCCGGACCTGTTTCCGTCTGTTTTCTGAGCGTATGCGTTTTGAATATGACTACGGAGAGATCCAATTCGGAGAGTGAATCGAACGCTGTGCGCGGCGCCAACGCCATCGCGCGATGTATACCCGTAGTTCTACGTTGAGCGCACTGCTCGGGGCTTCGTGCTGCGCGCTAAACTTGATTTCGGCATCTTATGTACGTCATGTTCAAGAATGATGTAATTTTTTAACGTTTCGTGTCCGCGATGTTGTTTTTTTTTCGGAACTTCTATATTGTTATAGCAGTTACATAGTAAATATTACCGAAAAGTTGGTAGTGCGTAAAAGTATCTCGTACAACATTGGTTTGTACGAATTATCGTTTGTTCTTGCATTTCAATTCTTTGTAGGCAAATACAACTCTTTCTGATTATGCTAACATACAAGCATTCCGTTGATATTGTTCTGCGTATACGATAATGCTTTTTAAGGATGGTAGACCTCCTACATTCAAATGGCAGGCAGGGAGTACCGGATACAAATATCAAATAGTGCTCAAAGCAACCTTGCCACTTATATTTCACATAACCATAATAAACTGGACTAAATATAAGTAAGCGTATGTCGTTTCACTCGTAGCACTTGCCACCGATGATGTTTTGCCAAGATGTGTGCAAGACGCTTCAGCAGTCTCACCCCGAAGGCTGGAACGCGATGACGTAATCGAGCCAAGTTCGCGTCGCCTTTTCATTCGGGTCTCACTGGACACCTGAACTGCGCGCGTTACGTTGACCACGTTTGCGCCAAGTACACTTGCGAAGTTCTCACGATGCCATAACTGACTTTTCAAAGTTGCGTATGGGTGTCTGGTAGGTAGTTGTACTTCAAAACGCACCAGAATGGAAGCCGAAATTAGGCAAAGTATGCAGCCATGTCCCTTAATGCTATCGTTAAATTTGTAGCTAAATGGAACCGGAGTAGTATTATGAGAAGTGTTTACTATTGGTGAATAAATAATAACATTTTGAATAAGTAAACCTAAAGAAAATAGTTATGGCACCAACCAGGCGATTGCGTCGTCAAACGCGTCAAAAAGAAGCTAATTTGGCGCAAATGGTCACCTACGGTGACCCTGCGTATTACCCACTCCATAAGGAGACGCGCGCACTTTCCGTAAAATTCTAAGCAACTGCCCCCTCGCCCCTTAGGAGGAAATATAATTGGACACGCTTTGGAGGGGAGCCCTTGCTCAGTCGTGTCGTCGACCAAATTCAAGATGATGGCAGAAGAGCCTCTAGGAAGAATGAACACCTGTGCTTCTTATGAAATGTTCTATTGAACAACCATTGAGTTTACCGTTTTTACTGAACGTTAGAGAATCCTTGTTGAATCTCATGTGTTATGAGACATGGGAGAAAATACGTTCTTAATTACAAATAGAACGAGCACTGATAATTCTCTCGCTTGTGCTTGTCTTCTTTTGCACTGTTTTTCTCTGCAAAATTGTTTCAAAAGTCGGATGAGATTTACTCGGACTTATTTCAACAAAATTATATAACAAAATTACAAAATGTTTCGCCTTCCACTGTGGTTTCAGAACGTCTATGTAATTTTGTTTTTTTAACTTTGTTATGTTGGAGTAAATCTTTTATATTATGTTTTCACCTTTTAGAAATGTTTGACCGACTAGCTCAACAAAGCACACTTGTAGAGTATCTCATCATCATCATCATCATCATCAGCAGCAGCAGCAGCAGCAGCAGCAGCAGCAGCAGCAGCAGCAGCAGCAGCAGCAGCAGCCTGACTACGTCCACTGCAGGGCAAAGGCCTCTCCCACGTTCCGCCAGTTAACCCGGTCCTGTGCTTGCTGCTGCCAATTTATACCCGCAAACTTCTTAATCTCATCTGCCCACCTAACCTTCTGTCTCCCCCTAACCCGCTTCCCTTCTCTGGGAAGCGGTTTAGAGTATCTACGGCACGTCAAAATCGTGAGGCATGTAGTTTTTAGGTCGTGCAGTGCGAAATATTGCGTATCTGTTTAGATCATTCGCGCAACACTGTTTTCCGCCATCTCAGCCCAAGGTTTCCACGCGGCAGGGCATGAACAGGCTCCGCGCGCTCATTGCTTATCGCGCCGTCGCAGCGCAGAGTCGAGTCCGATCCGGAATGGCGACGTGGGTAACCGGCGACTGCCTATAGGCGTATAAACACAAACACCGGGCAGTCGTCGCGACAGGCGGAAACTGGGACATCCGGTGACCGAGACGCGTGGGCCGACGATAAAGCTCAGCCGCGCTAACAAGAGCCACAAGAGGAAGCGAGTTGGCAAAGCAGCAAGTGCAAGAAACGCGGCAGAGAACAACGCCGCGAGGACGAATTCGGAGAAAGTCGCGAAGGCGCTCCGGGCTCCCTTGCGGGCCACGACCCCGTGCGGCGAGAACACGGAAGTGCACTTCGGGAAGCGCGCTCGTCGAGATGGGATTAGCGGCAGCCGGATAAGGGCCGTCTTAATCAAGCTCTCTCGACGCCTCCATAATCAGCCATTGACCACGTTGATTCGTGGGGCCCTTCGATGCTGTGTTCATGGCGCTTTGTTTCAATTTTTTTCTCGTTTCGCTGCGTGATGAGAAAGAGAGATGAGCGCGAGACGATTGGTGGGACATTTCCGAGATCTGATTGATCTACTGCGACGTCGGCCTTCGTTAATCGTCTTTTGCTCGTTCTCTATGATCGGCAAGTTGCGCTGGCATTTTTGCACTGCGCATAAGCACCATGCTTAGGGCACCAGGTTAGTCTGACATTTATTTGTTTAATATTTATTTATTTATTATTTATTTATTTATTTATTTATTTATTTATTGATGTGTCGAATACTGGCAGCCTTACACAAGCCACTATAGAGAGAGTGAATTAGAATATGTACAATAAATCTAACTACATATTGCTAATGGCATACGGTACGTCGAGGAGTTCTAAACCTTGTAAGCAGAAAATGCACCACACTGCTACGCGTGATAAAGTAGTATTCCGCCCTCTCCACAAAGTTTAATTATCACCCGCGAGCCGTTCCTAATTTAATTACCGATACACAATTACATTATAATTTCAGTCAAACTATCGTGCATTCTTGGTGACGTATTCCCACGAAGGCATTCTTCGTGTGTTTTTTTAATTAGAAGCTTTTTTGCAATTTTTCGTGTTTTTGTGACCAAGGTAGCTACCTTACGAAAAGCCACTCCTTCGCCGTGCGAGCCTTTCTAGCCATAAGGGATGGCGTGTCGTACGGGACCTCCATGGCGCTTTTTAATGTCCAGGTAACATTTGGGTATGCACTCTCGTGTTGGACCCGGGTTACTCCCGTGAACGACGTACCCCGGTAAGGAAAAAGGCCAGAACGAACTCGGATAGACACGCCACGTCATGAGAATCTGAGGGTTAGGGTGTGGCCTTTGTGAGTAGCTCCGGCTGTGCGCGCTGCTGAAGAGAATCATGGAGGCTATTGAAGAAAAACGAAAAAGTAGAGAAAAAATTTGCTGTGTGTAGATCACAAAAGGTACGTTGTACCTGCTTCTGACCATCGGCAGGATATTGTTTCGGGAGAGGGGGGACGCAAACCGATGTTCCATCGCGGTGAGAAAGTTCCGCTACTGTGACTAAAGGGGAGGGGTGGAAGTGTTCCTTTTGCGCACCCCTGCCGACATTCATGAACCTTCTAGAACGCCTTTATTTACAAATAATAGAGAACTTTTTTTTCTCACTCTTTCATGTTCTCTAAGTTTATTTCATATACCATCTTCTTTCGCTCATATTATGTGACAAAGCGCTGAGAGTCACATGAAAGAAAGAAAGAAAAATTGGCACTCATCTGTTCTTTTTCTTTGTTTCACGTTTTCATAAACCAAGCTTTGCGTCATGGATAACATGTTTAACAAAATTACGCACAAACTCGCACAGGAAAATGTTGTTCTAGAGTCCCACGAAGTTGAAATGCTTCTCTTGATCGCACCAGAGAACCAGGAGAGCAGAGAGGTCCCGAATTTTCTCGTAATAAAGTTTGTTTGACACGGCTGTCTTCATATACAAACATTGCTTATACTCGCAATGAGTTTCCGTCACATCTGCGTTTCGTTGAAATGAGTTGACTACAATGTGTAATGGCAACGAATAACAATGCCGGAGAAAATGTCATTTTTGCGCCTAGTTTCACATTAAAACCCCGCCGCTGTGATTTAGTACATATGGTACTTGACTGCTGCGCCGAACGGTCACGAAGTCAAATCTCTGTCGGGCAGCTACATTTTTGATGGAGGCGAAAATACTCGTGGCCCGTGTGCTTAAATTTAGGTGCACGTTAAAGAACCTCGGGTGGTCGGAATTTTAGGATCCCTCTACTACTGCGTCTTTCAAAATCATATCATTTTGGGACGCTTAACGACCCCAATTATTAACTATGAACATACGTTACCCTGTTCGAACTCTGTTTCAGTATTTCAGTTCGGTGTCGAATGGTATTTTTAATTGGTTATCGCAAGATTTAGAGCCTGGTAACATGGAAGGCCATTGGTTAAATCTAGCTCCAAAAGTAATATATCCACGTGATAGTACAAGCGCACTGCCTTGAAGCAGGTCAATTTTTTTCGCGAGCATTCATGTGCACTACATCACATAGCTAATTTGAATTCCCTATTCTGATACCGTGACAGAGTTTTTAATATTTTTGGTGATCTCTGTTACGTGCTAATTTGGGAAGGGTAGAAACTTGGGCGTGTGCAACCTATTTTTTACCCTTCATCCCTTCCCCAGCGCAGGGTAGCATAACTGATGTGCGTCTGGTTAACCTCCCGGCCTTTCCTTGCATCTTTATCTCTCTCTCTCTCTCTTCATATAGAGTGTAATAAATAGAAGAACAACGCAACAGAGGACCGACGAAGATAATGACGAAGTTGTTGAAAGTCAGCGCTGCGTGTGCTATCTTCCTCAGTCCTTGTCTGTTGCACTGTTCTTATATTCATTATGCGCTAATTTGAAAGACCATATCACCGGGAAACTTTAAGTGCAACAGGAATATTTGTGCATATATACAGTAGTGTCCAAGTGCGCGATTCAATAGGACTCTGCAGCTGTGACGCTCATAGCGAAGAGCACACGGTCGTTGAGGAGAGAAACCAAGAAACAGCACTTACTAGTATTCCATTTCTACTGTCTTTTCCGTGTCGTGTGTACTGCGTTCCTAGAGTTGTAATGATCTGCTTTGCCACCCTATTCGCTAGGGCATTCTGCCACAAGTGATCCTGAACAAGATTTATTGCTACGTCACCAGAAAAGTACTGCAGAAAAATGTGCGGACCAAAAACTTTTATGATCTGGAAAGTTAACAGTGCGGTACAGTATACCGCTTCGACAAAAGCAGTTTTATAATGCATGAATAACGGACATGAACAAGCTTTCTCTGGCTGCCGCGTGCATGTTGTTCTTTATCTCGTTTTTGCGGTACTTTACCGGTAGATTTTATCATCACACTGTGCTGGTGAACATCGGAGAACGGAGCTGGCAGACCTTCAGAGACCATCCTGTTATCGCCTAAAAAGTAACGTCAGGGTGCGTCTACGTAAGGCCCTGACGCATAAATATTAACAATGACCCAGTGTATTAGGGAAAGGAACGCATATATAAGGACCATCAGTCGAGATTTTGTGAGGCACGCTTCAAGAAGGGCCTTTGCAAAGGCAATGAAGTTTAACGGAACGGTGCTGCGTGTAGCTTACGTCAAGGTGAGCAAATTTTTTTCGTTTTTCTAAGGTGCGAGGCACTTATCGAAATCACCTAGGCTATCTACGTCGCGCTCTGTCTAAAATCCCCAAAAGACACAGAGCTCCTTTTATATAAATCGCTAATTCGTCCTGTACTTCTCTACGCGTCCGTTATCTGGAACCCGTATAAGAATTGCGAGATTCAAGAACAGGAATCAGTCCTCAAAAAAGCAGTAAGGTTCATATGTCATCGTTACGCCATCGATGTGTCACCTTTTTCTACTCTACCTTGATTGCTATTCATTCAAGTCACCGAATAGAGTAATTAAAATTCTTGCAAAGCATCGTTTCCTCCTCAGTTAAACTGTCAAATAACAAAAAGTACACAAACTTCGTCCCACATGCAGTCAACGGCGGGGAGCTATTGCAACCTAAATTTGAGGCCTTACTACACTCCAACACACATGTTCAAGTTTTTTCCCCGTTCGAATGAAGACTGGAATTCATTATCTGGTTGTGTTCATTCATGCCCATCGCAGAGTTCTGTAGGCGAAATCCATGACCCATATGTGTCAAATACGCTGGTCTGTTTGCAAAAGTATTCGTTTGTTCTTTCTTTTTCCATGTTCTGATATTTTTGTTCACACGACGTTACTCTAAATGTTTTTAGTTATATTTCTATGTATCCTTGTATACTCACACCTGCCATAGTGCAATTAGCGCTGCAGTATGTGTAAATAAATAAATTGTTAAACAAATAAAGTCTAGGCTTGTCGGCCTTCAATGTAGTCGCAATGTGTCATCTAGTCATGGTTCATCATAAACGGATATGCGCTGCGGAAATTAGAGAAATCTCACCACTCGTCACCGGACCACTAAATATGAAGAATGTAACGGCTATCCGGACGATTTTAGCGGACGAATTTAAAAGAGTAGAAATACCCTTCCCTATATACTGTAAAGAACTGAAACCATAAAGAACTGAAATCATAAAGAAATGAAACCGGACGTGTAGGGAAGAAGTAGAAGATGAAGCCTCTGAGGGTAAGCTGCATTCCAATGCAGTTTCCCGATGGCGGTATTGGAGTGGGGACATCCTTTTCTATATACCATAACCAATTGAAATGAGACATGTTTGGAAGAAGGAGAAGTAGATAAAGAAGCCCCTGAGGCAAAGTTGCCTTCCGACGCAGTCCCTAAGACGTTAATGGAGCGGGAACAGCCTTCCCAGCATATCGCAACAAACTGAAATCAGACATGCAGGGAAGAGGTCGATGACGAAGGAGCCCCTAAGGGTAAGCTACATTCTGACGCAGTGTCCCGACAATATTAGTGGAACGGGGACACCCTTCTCTACATACCAGAAAGAACTGAAGCCAGACAAATGTGGGGAAGAAGTAGATGAGAAGAAACGCCTTAGGGTAAGCTGCATTCCAATGGAGTTTCCCGACGACGTTAGTAGAGCGGGAATACCCTTCCCTACATACCATAAAGAACTGAAACCGGACATGTAGGGAAGAAGATGTCGATGAAAAAGTTCCTGAGGGTAAGCTGCATTCTGACGCAGTGTCCCGACGATGTCAGGGAAGCGGGAACACCCTTTCCTACATACTATAAAATCAGAAACCGGACATGCAAGGAAGAAGTAGAAGAAAAAGCCCCTGAAGGTAAGCTGTATTCCGACGCAGTTTCCCGACGATGTTAGTGGAGCGGAAACACCCATCCCTACACATCATAAAGAACTGAAACCAGACACATCGGGTGTCACAGGTCCCGTTAATTCGGGAGGCGATCGCCGGGCTAATTCCAAGGACCGAAGTATCGGCCCCCCGAACCGCACCACGAAAGCGTGGACAATTTAGAAGTGGTCCTATTTGGCGTGCCTGCGGACGCCGGCTGTGGCCCAAAGAACAAGTCAGAGCCGTGAGTTGATAAACAAAACAAAATTATATTCTCAGTTATGGCAGATCAAAACGATACACAAGTATGCACATTCGACAATAGTTGAATACAAGGTGTCACCAATCAAACAATGTACTACACAGTACAATCATCCACTCTCGAAACAACGGACACAGACAACAATATGCACTACAATGCAGTCGCATGCATTGAACAACCAAGACACTTAAAGACTACAGAGATAGAAAACCTATTCAGTCCAAAGTCCTTGGAACAAAAGTCTGGATGATACTCTTCTGAGAATCACTCACTCAAAGTCCAGCGTTGTTGTCGTTCCGCTGCCCCCGAAGTTTCTCTTCCAGGAAACCTCGCGTTCCGCTGCCCCCGAAGTTTCTCTTCCAAGAAACCTCACGTCTTCACTTGGCCGCTCTCCAAGCTTCAAACTTCTTCGCCGGAAACACGTCGACTTCACACTCGCAGCTGTTGCCACACGTCTTCGCTCGATAGCGGTAGACACACACTCTTTCCTGTAGCTCGAGTCATCACCCCTCAGGTGGAAATCGTCCTCTTCTCCTTTGTCACGGAAGACAAAAGGCTTCGCCCACAAGGCGGAACACCCTACGCTCTCTGGCGCATACTTTCTTCTTCTCCTGCTTTGCCACTAAGGAAAAAACCTTCACCGACAGACGCGGCGGGATACCCTACCCACTCTGGCGTTAACTTCCTTCTTCTCCTGATCTCTCATCTCGGCTGCTCGATTAAATACCTCCCGCGCGAGATTCCAGAAAGTTCTCATCATTTCGTCGGCGCGATGCGCAGCGAAGGCTGGGGAAAAGGGCGAGATGGTTGAAAGGCCGTCCGCGACGGATGACGCAACCCGGCATCACCACGCCCCTTTCCATCGAGAATCTTCTAGGGCCTGCTCGGCCGCCGATGTGGGGTGAGGAGGTTCGTCGGTGAACCTACGCTTCCGAGGGGAGAGGGACGTGTGCCCAGGGAGTCTTTGGATGCTTGTTTTCTTTCTTTTTTTTATCGTTGACCTCGCGGCGTCACTCCGGCGTTTCGTCGTCAGAATTCGGTGGCGTGCCCTTTTTTGAGCGCTCGTTTTGTGACATCAGGAAAAGTATATGAAAAAGAAACGCCATAGGGTAAGCTGCATTCCGACGAAGTTTCCCGACGACGTTAGTGGAGCGGGAACACTCTTCCCTACATACCATGAAGAACTGAAAGCGGACATGTATAGAAGAAGTTGAACTAGATGAAGAAGAAGCTCCTGAGGGTAAGCCGCATTTGAAATAAGTTTCCTGACGACGTTAGTGGAGCGGAAACACCTTTCCCCAAAATTTCTTGTCGGGCTAGTTGATGTTGTATCCCAGGTGTCATATTTTTATCGCAAACAGGAAAAAGAAATAACTAGCTTAGAAAAAAAGGCAGTGCGCTTGCCCTGTGCACTTTCTTCTTCTTTTCTCTGCTAGTTTTCTTTTTCCTGTTTCAGCTAAAAAATATGACGTTTGGGATATCCTTCCCTATATGCTTCACTTTTTCCTAGTTTTTTTTTGAAGATTCAGAAGATGTGCGCACAGGCCCAATTTTGCCAAGGCGCTAGTTACCGCGCATTTGTGTCGTAAACTGTGAGGCTCTTAGAACACGGCGAAAAGAAAGGGAGATGTGCGAAATAAGGGCTCAGGAGTGAAACTTCTTGTAGAGAGATTTGCCTGTGTAAACTTAGAGAAAGTTGAAAATTCAAAATAAAAAAAATATAGTGAAACGCGATGGTTGCAACCGGTCGTTTGGCTGCGCGCTGTAATGAAAGACTACCTCGTTATATTTACGACACGTCCTAATCAATTATTTTTCTAGCCCTCATAAGGACGAGTACATGTTCAATAACAGTACATGATCTGGCAAGCAAGGTTTCCTAATTTATTGCAGTTTGAATGAAGTCCCGATTTTCGAGAAGCATTGAGAACATGCTACGAAATCTAGGTGGTCTCTTTATATAGAAGCACTTTATTCGCATGTGTTGTTGGGAACTCAAAAATTGTCAGGTTTACTTCAGCACTTCGTGAACTGCCGACAAGTCCTGTTTACACGTGTGAAGGTATTACTTCTTAGGCCATTAAGTGTGTGTTAAATATGTGCTTGTGAAAAAAGATCTCGAAATTTGAAAGATTGCGCAAGCTCACTTTTTTTTCTGAGCGCAGAACCATTGAGGAACAAAATCGAGGACTGAGAAATATATATTTAACTGGGCGACATTAGGAACTTGTGTCATGAGAATTATGGCCTTGCATGAAGGTTTTACTTGCGCAACTCGATACTTATTTCCATGCAGTTGGAGGTCGCGCGCGCACACATTTGCAAAATATATCTCTAAAATTTCGGAAGCACCTTCGTCTCATTATTTAGGCACCCACTCGCCGGAATTACGCAATATAACTCTTGCCTATTCCTAAATAAATAAATACAGGAAAAACTATGAAGCTAGAAATAAAAATTTAAAAAAACCATGATTCGATCGGCGTTCCCGTAACAGAGCAACGACTAACAATCTGCCACTTTTGGGTTGCCAACTCGTTGTCATTCGCAGCAGATTACTTAGCGCCCGCAATATATTGATATTGCGTGTTCGTGAATTTTGCGTGACGTGTTACCGTATCAGGGCACCAACGCACCCGATTTAAATAACCATTGACTTCAAGGGTAACTGACTGGATTCCCAGAGAAGGGAAGCGGGTTAGGGGGAGACAGAAGGTTAGGTGGGCAGATGAGATTAAGAAGTTTGCGGGTATAAATTGGCAGCAGCAAGCACAGGACCGGGTTAACTGGCGAAACATGGGAGAGGCCTTTGTCCTGCAGTGGACGTAGTCAGGCTGATGATGATGATGACGATGATGACTTCATTTAATCACCTCGTAATATTATATGCTTTGCTTAAATGAACACATAATATCGTGGCCTTTCATACCAAGTAGTCTTTCGTGCACGTTATTTCGTGTAGCAGCTATATAACCATTTATTCGTGTCCTAATATGCGACAAACACAAATATATCAGCGACGTTTCCCGTCACCTTGTTGACATGTGGTGACAAGAGCGAGAACTTTCGTTGCGGCGGGACAGTCTGCTCTTGTAGATCTGACACTCTTAAAGGTACATCGTGAATTTCCGCTCTTTCTCACAAATGCCCACGCAGTTCCCGCCGTACCTGAACGCGATCGAACATGGCGGCCACACTGAGCTGACTGGCGTCGCTGGAAATCTTGCCATGCTCCTCATCGAAGCACTTCAATTCCAGTACGTATAACGTCGATTATGTTACCTCACTCAGCATTTACTTGGCATTGTTGAACGGTATATTGAAACGAGAGCAAGTTAAACAGCTGGCAGAATGGAAGTTTGGGAGAATTTGTGGGCTAGGCTAATAAGAGAAACCGCAAATTTACTGAACATGAATGAACAATGAGGAGACGGAAAAAACTCTGGCTCGATATAAAACAATTTTTTTTTATTTTATACTGCAGATCCATAAGTCCAAGCAGGTGGGCAGCTTGAATATGACATGATTAATAAAAGAAGTTTGCAATCGGTGTACCGCGGATAAAAACACAGAAAGCAGCACCGAAGAACTGTTTTATAATTGACGGAAATGGCAGACATTGAAAATAAAAAAAAACAAAATATTCATATCATAACTTGCTTTCTCTTCCTTCGTGTGCCGCGAGTATACGCTGTTTCATTTTGACAAAACAGAAAGTACTTCGTTTCTTAGCAAGTTTAGTGCATGGAAACAGCATGAACGACATTGACGTGCCTTACTTGCGCAAATGCAATGCCTTCTCCTCTTAATTAAGTGATGTCAACCAGGCTGACATATGTCGCAGATAAAAAACACGTGTACGTCCTTAGTAATTATACAATCCGTGTGTGCGGGCATTCTTGCGTGTGAGTTTGTGCGCGCGTCGAAATAACGGGTCTCACGGACTGCAATTACTGGTTGATGTACTGCCTGAAGACGAGCACATTGCTTGCGTTAAGGTCTCCACATCCCTGCGGCTAATTCTTAAGATTACCTCGCTAACTTTTGCGATTTCTGACTAAATTTTATGGGATAAAATGGTAAAAACAAAGATTACAAGACAAATGTAATGCAGGCTAAGCCTAAATTGTGTGATTATCGCCATGTCACTAACGTAATTTCAGACCGCAAAATCCACTTTAAGTTCCAAGTTAAGGTTGCTCCTAAAAACTTGAGATGAATTGTTTTTTTTTGCAACTTATACGCAACAGGAAAGAATAAGAACAAAGGAAATTCAGGGACGTTAACCTGCAGGGGTTCAGCTTGGTAGACTATACCTTTACTGAAGAAAGGAGCAAGGGGAAAGGAAAGTCACTGTTTGAGTCGACGCGTAACAGTTTCACGTTTGACAACTTACCCGCAATGTCAGTATCAACATGGGGAGTGCGCAGAGTTCTACAATAGAGGAGGTGGGCGTGAAAGTATTGCAGCCCCCCCCCCCCCCTCCCCAATTTTAAATTTCTAACAACGTTCGCCCGATGCGTGGTAACGAAACAAGTTAACAACGTAATAACACGCAATGTTCACCGCAAAGGTAACACGACAATTCGGTAACCATCGCTGTTAAAAAGACTGTTGAAAACGCCCTCAATTCTCCGCATCACTCCATGGTCTCCTTCGCGGAGATGGTGTAATTTTTTTTACTAAAGTAGTAACACTCGAAATTTCTGCTTGAACCAGCATTGTCTAACATGGAAGCAACACTGAGCTTCATATGACAGGTAAACATAGGCATGCTTGGTTAATGTTTTGTTAATGACTGAATAAGTTCTACATGACCGAGAGCAAGTCATGAAGAGAGCTCATGAACTTCCGCATTATAATGTTCGCGTTGGTTTAACAGGACCTTTTTTTGTTGGCATTTGTGGAGACGTGCGAATGCGGATATTAACAAAACAGACAGATACTTACTCCACGTTCAGCGAAAATGTTATGTATGAGCTATGGGTTAACAAGGCAAACCTAATAGTCACAAGTACCTCAAACGAGCGCCTACACTCTCTACGAGCTGTCGAAATCTTCGTTGTGCCGAATGTCGCCATAAAATTGAAAGCACAAAGCAAGCCGAAGAGAGAGATAGAGCGAGAGAATTAGCTAAGAAGTGCAACTAAAGCATTATTTAATCTTCGGATCAATGTGAAAATGGGCGTAACCCGTGGCGATTCTAGTCGTGGTGGCTACGTCGAGGAAAGGAGTGTTCATATGGAAAGATAAAAGGAGGAACGCGCAAAAATACAAACATGGTTGGTCCTTCCGTCACGGGAACGCGAAAGTAAAACGTGTTTTAGAGAAGTAGTTCAATATTTATTGTACACTGACATAAGATAGCTTGCACAATGTCGGTAGGTGTCTGGAAGATATAGCAAGGCTTAGCCTGGATGCACCCACGTTGACACTTGGTTGCACGTCTCCATCTCGACAACTATAACGTTCATGATCAGTGATTAAACAAACCTTTGTGGAATCTGTACCAGTTAACGGTGATAGCGTAAACAAAGTAAGTGGTGTGCCAGCCATTTGGACGCATAACTTGGGCCATGATTGCCATCCCACGACGTGTTAAATAAGTATTTGATGTATAACGCCCTACCAAGGTCTGATACCAGATTGCAGTGTAAATAAGTAAATAAATAAATAAATACGTAATTATGTGAATAATCAATTAAGTAATTATTTAAGTAAGGAAGTAATAACGTAAGCAACTAAGGTTATTAAGTAAATAAGTAAAGACTAGTTTTGACCTATGACGGTACAGGTCCGACTGATAAAAGGCATGCCGCAGACTTTGGCACCCCTTTTTAAATGATTTGGGGAAGGGGGATTTCTGCACTCCACGTGCGCACGTAATGAGTACCGTGACGGGGCTTTATATGTGCTGCAAGTTTAATAAGCCACCGAGTAGCTAGCTCCTGGAAAGTGGGTCCGTCGCGGCTGACTCTCGAGCGGAGGAGGAGCGCCAGACCTTTTCTTTCCGGGGCGAGAGCTGCTCTTTCCCTCGACTTATTACGTGCACGTGGTAACATCAATGCATGTTGTGACAGATTTTGAAAACGGGTAACGTGAAGTAGATTCTGCCTATTTGGTTTTGTTTGAAAAAAACTTTATTGCGAAAGTCCGAAGGCGTGCGCCCTATAGCACACGGCGATGGGACAGTAAGACCAAGACCTAGCACCGCATTGTGGGCCCTCTGGATAGCCCAAAGTTGCGACGTTATGTCCGGACTCTGGAGAACGCAGTCCACTTTCTGGACGATGGTGTATCGGTGCCGTGCACCGAAGGGCCCTCCCAGAGCATGTGATGTAAGGTGGCTAAATCACCACATTTTGTACATAAGTTGGTTAAATAAACCTCAAGGTAAAGCTTGTGGAGAAAGGCAGGGTTAGGGTACGTTTCTGTTTGAAGAAATCGCAATGTAAGTGCCTGCGCTCTATTTAGCTTCTTATGTGGAGGTGGAAAGATTCTCCTATCCATAGCGGAATGTTGGGCAATATTATTGCATGCACTTGACGGATCCCCGTTTAAGAAATCTCTAGTTTGACCCAAAGGTCATCAATGACCACAGACAGCTAACGCTCGCGCCCTGGAGGGGGCCAACTCATTGAGTTTGATAACCAATCCGTCCATGTTTCCCATATGATGTGGGAACCCTGTAAGGGTATGGGTTGTAAGCGACTTCTCAGCGAGTATGTTTTTGGCCTATATATATTTGCACACAGCTTCAAAACTGAAGGCACAAATGGCAGCTATAGAATCGCTAAATATGTGTTCATGACGCTGATCTAAAAGAGCCAAGGCAATGGAAACCTGCTGAGCTGCATTGGCAGTTTTGGCGCATATCGACGCTGCATTAATTTTAACCCTTTTGTGGTTGATTGCTGCTACCGTGAATCGGTCTCTCTGGTCATTATATTGTGCCGCATCTACTAAACTGGTTTTCATTTTTTTAGATTTGTTTTTGTCACCATTGTCACTGCTACTCAGCTGCTATGCTGCTATTGCAACATGTGTCCTAATATACAGGGTACCCCAGCTATACTTAGCCAGATTTTATAAAAAATATGCCGACACACGCAATTGCGACGCGACCAAATGCGTGTTGCTGACCCTTGCCTAGAGTTAGTCCGACGATTTTTTCTGTTCTAAAACATCCCCGCCGCGGTGGTCTAGTGGCTAAGGTACTCGGCTGCTGACCCGCAGGTCGCAGGATTGAATACCGGCTGCGGCGGCTGCATTTCCGATAAAGGCGGAAATCCTGTAGGCCCGTGTGCTCAGATTTGGGTGCACGTTAAAGAGCCCCAGGTGGTCGAAATTTCTGGAGCCCTCCACTATGGCGTCTCTCATAATCATATGGTGGTTTTGGAACGTCAAACCCCACATATCAATCAAATCAATCAGAGTTTTAAAATATTCTTTAATTAGATCTGTTTATTCAACTAACTTTTGAAGGAACGAAGATGTATAAAAATTTTCATTGAGAAAGTTGTAGATCGGTTTACAAAACGTCTGATTAGACAGTTTCAAACTTTACATCTGTTAATTATTAGTGTTTTTGCTAACTACAAATGCGCGCGAAATACAAAAAAATACTATGAGATAAAACCCACTGGCACGCCTTCCGTGATTCTTGTGCTCTCTAACGTTCCGTGTACGAAACAATACGCTTCTCTCGCACAGGTTCTTGACAGCGATAAGAAGTCCCAGCGGTTATCGCTTTTGTGGCTCGTAGAAAAACGTGTTTATTGCAATGCCATCATTGCGGCCTTGTGGCCCTGTCGAGATAGCACAATCAGGCAAATGCGCGGAACGTTAGAGATCACTAGAATAGTGAGTGGGTTTCTCACGTGGTATTTTTTTTTATTTCACGGGCATTTGTAGTTAGCAGAAAGACACTATAATTAACAGACATAAAGTTTGAAACTGTCTAATCAGACGTTTTGCAAACCTATGAAGAACTTTCTCATTGAAATTTTTAATCCATTTTTGTTCATTCAAAAGTTAGTTGATTAAACAGATCCAATTAAACGATATTTTAGAACACAAAAATAGTCTGACTAACGTCAGGCAAAGGTCAGCAACATGCATTTGGTCGTGTCGTAAATGCGTGTTTTGGCATAACTTGAATCTCTGTCCAAAGATAGCTGAGGCACCGTGTATACATAAAACGGGTTATTACTGAATTTCAGATAGCTAGCGAAGCTTTGTGTGTTAGTGCAAATCAGGCCCACACTTTTGGTTGAATGAATTAAAAAAAAGCGAAAAAGCGCTGTCAAATGCGATATTGAAAAATTACTCACAAGCGCAAGAAAAAAAAAAGCAGCTTTAAAATTAAAATAGCACATCCGAAGGCTTTAGGCTATTTTTAAACTTTAGATGCCATTTGTAGTATATAAATATTTAATAATAGTTTACGAGTAATATTTTCTCTTGTATGCAAAAATAACAGGGTGACTTTTATGACTCCTTCCGACGGCAACTTCGGAGTTCACCTCCCAAGCGGTGACTGGACTGGACTATTTGGAATGGTCGCTAAAAACGTAAGTTTCGCTCACCTTGACATTTTTTTACCGAATGAGTGTTTCTAACAAAAACATGACCACATATCTCAATCTTTAGGCAGCGAATTGCAAGAAACAGTTTAACAATGACCTAAGGTTATTCCAATGTCAGAAATCAGTATGTAGACTCTGATAGGTCATGTTAATCTTATCTCGATGTTCTATTCCGAAGATCCAGTAGAATGCATAATAATTTGAGTTTTACTCTCGTATGTATGGTCGCACTTTAAAATTCAATTCATTAACGCTTCTTTACGCCATTTGATTGTGGAACAGCCTGCCCGGCAATGTAGCTCCGTTGTCCAACTCTGACACATTTCATCATCAATCTGCTGCGGTAGATCAGCGATTGGAGTGTGTGCGCAGCTGGTGACTTAAAGGTCACGGTTTCGATCTCCACGACAGTCACATTTCGCTGGAAGTGGAATGGCAGGGGCTCATGTAGTGTGTGATGTCAATGCACGTTAAAGTACACAAATGGCCTTAATTTCCGGAGCGTGACACTATGGTGTGCCTCTCAATCATGTGGTGGTTCTGGCAAGCAAAACCCCAGATGTTGCTACTGTGCGACCACATTACGCCGCTAATACGCGATTCGTGCTCTGAATTACTCGCAGGAGGCGGACATATCGCCAGGTCCCTTCCTCATCTCGAACCCTCGGATACAAGTCGCCAACCCTTCGTTTCCGTGGGCTTACGAGAACATGATCATTTTCGCCGCCAAACCACTGCGCTTCACGACAAACGTGTTTGGCTTTGCGAACGCCTTCTCGGGAACGGTGTGGGCGGCCAGCATTGCCACGCTCCTCCTGCTGTGGATCGTCCTCGCGGCCGTCCTGTCTAAGACGTTCCCGCCCAAAGCTGCCACGCGCACCACCGGGCGAAGGGCAGTCGGCCGTGCGATGCGGCGCTGGTGCTGGTCACGGGCCCTCGGGGCGCTTTTGAGACCTCTTCTCTCTCAAGGTTTGCTTTGCCTCGCCATTCCCGTCCTTCGGTATAAATGAACAGCTAGGTTCGGTCGCTACGAGTCAACTACTTGCTTGAACTGTTTAGCAGTGGTTCTCTCTATTTATGATATAGAAGAAGGAGGAATATAGGAAAAGCAGGGAGATTAACTACGTTACGTTCAGTTTGTTACCCTACGCATGCAGAGGCGAATAAGGGAGCTAATGAGATAGAGGAATACACACATTTCACAACACGCGCACACAGCACAGGCGGTTCCTCCTGCAAGAACTGTAAGACGGCTCGTGGGGCACGCTTTCCGAGCTGATGAGCTACGAAGCCAGGCTCCCACATTTTTTCCTTCAGTAAACTGCCGATAACCTAGTTTACTCAAGGAAGCTAAAATAAAGGGAGTAGGGTATGCCTACTCGCTCGCTGGATTCCGTGCTGACCGGTTGTGCCCCCGCGATCTCCGACGACAGCGCAGCTCTGGTCGACTGGGTTGGTCCTACGCCATCTCCTGTCGCCGAAAAGAGCTCTCGCCGTGGCCCGTCTTCGGACTCCTGCAACCGTGTCCTTCTTTCCTGTCTTCTCCTTACTTCCGTCGCTCCCTGTCCCTGCGCCTCGCTCTCTCCTTACTCTCTCTCTATCTCTCCACCTTTTAATCCTATCCTTTTATTCCTTTCTCTACTCCCATCCCACGTGAGCTACTGTTTAGGTGTCCTCCCCCCGAGAGACAGTTACGGGGCTCAGTTTTCTTTTCTTTTCGTTTAAAATCACTTCCCTCCACTTCCCCCTACGAGGTGCCAAAATTTCCTCACCTATAACGACCTACTTTGTGAAGTTGAGGGCTTTAGAGGCGTCTTTTTATACACGGGCTATTCGAAATTGCGTGGTTTTGAAAAAATACTGCTGGTGTGCCACGAAGAATTATTTTGCTCTTCGGAGAAAGGGCGAGGACGTGGAAGGGAGAACATTTGATTACTGTTGGTACAGATGAGTGAATTCTATGTTGTTAGACAGAGACACCGCATTCAAAATTATATATATGTGAACAAAGGTCGCACGGCAGGATAGCTATAGATTTCCATTTTCCACACGGTGGGTTCAGAAAACTCCTGAGCTGAGAAATCGAACATCCAGCCTACAGTTCTGCAGACATTCACATAAAAATCATAGCAATATTATCGGTGGGAAACTATAATATTAATTTCTTACAAAGGAGCAACACGCGAAAACCTGCAAACAACGCACGCTTATCAGCTTTGTCTATGAAGCGACCATACTCAGCTTCGAAATCTCCGCTAGAAAACGTTAAAGCTCTATCAATAATGGCAGGATGATGTGTGCAATACTCGCCGTGCTGTTTTTGAACGGCTTGATAGCTCAGATTCTGGAAGTTTGGTATAAGTCTCTGAAAAAATACACCTCATGGACGGAGAAAGAAAGTGCAAACGACGACGCCTACTAGCGACAGAATGCTATCGAATACCCGGCTCCGAATTACATATCGCAAAAGAAAATAAAAGAAATAGATAAATATTCTAGGTTCACGATTGTGAAATAGCACCAAAATACGGATATACAGGCTAGACAGGCAAAGGCCCAGTCCCCGTATTTTTGCGCTATGCTGCAATGCAACCGGCTAGCTCGACCTCTCTTACCACTGTATTCATTGTGGTACAGGCATTGCAAACTGACAGAATCCCAGCTACACTTCATCTCCGCTCTTGTCTCGTCCCAAAGGTCACGGTTGTTGTAGGTCCATAAACATGAAACGATATATCTATGTCGACTGACTTGAGCCATGTGTAGCCGATAACGAGAAGGAAAAACGTTACTATCCAGAACTGCGCGCTAATAGAAAACACTTTTCTAGCCACGTTACCATAGTCATAAGTGACTCGCACAAAAATAATTGTTAAAAACTAAATTTATAGATGAATGAGGCATGTATTTATTGAACTCTTGAATGACCATTTTAATCTGAGAATTTAACGGGTGACGAGAACTTCATGAAGCCTCAAAAACGCAGCTTTTTTGGGGGCGGGACCCCCTATTGTTATTGCATTGTCTGCAGTGAAATTGATATTCTTATTGATGTGCTTAAATAATAAATAATTGAATAATTGATTGATTGGTTGATTGATTGATTGATTGATTGATTGATTGATTGATTGATTGATTGATTGATTGATTGATTGATTGATTGATTGACCAACCGGCATGACGGTAGTAACAAGACCTGAGCAGATGCATGACGTATCTGCTCAGGTAATGTGACTGAATGCACACCATGCGATTCGTCTCTTTGTAGGGTTCGAGAGCTTCCCCGGCTCTACGCTACCGAGGTGCCTAATCGCCATCTGGCTCTTGGCACTGATCGTGCTGCGAACCTCTTTTCTCGGCGAGATGAAGGCGTCTCTGGTGGTCAGGACCGAAGTGCCCGGCATACGAAGCGTCGAGGACCTCGCCAAGATGGAGAGCGTCACGCCCATCGTCTTGAAGGAATCCGCGTTCTATACATACATCAAGGTATACCTCAAGTTTACTTCCGACGGGAAACGCACTTATTTAGTACAATATTCATCGGGCAGTATGTCTATTCGTAAGGAAACACCTAAATTGCTAGATTACGGCGATGCTTTTGTGCACGGGCCCACTAAAAAGCCCCGCGCATCATGAAAGCACGCATGCTTGGGCATGTTCAAAATTCCGGTTCACTTTTTATTCTTTTTTGTGTGTGTTTGTATGCACACAATGAAAATGTACAAAAAAAACGCGGATACACTGTGCACTGAGTGGAAAAAGAATAGGACCGGATACGCTGGGGTTCACTATACAAGTGAGAGCCCATTGACTATCAACATTTAGCCTATCAGAGCTTACGGAAATGGACTGTCCACACAGTAAAAACTTACTGTCTACCACCCCTGGATTTCTTTCCATGCAACTGGTAATCATTTTGCAAGAATACCGCTGAAAGTCGAAGCTTCCACGCGCAGAGACCTTCAGCTGCGAGATTATGCACCATACTGACAATAACGCAAGCTTTTTTCTATGGTGCATTTATACATATCATCTTTATCCTAATTACTTCCTTAATTAGCTTTTTGAAATGTCACTTACGTGAAGTTTTTTTTTTTTTTTGCCTAGAACGATTGCTTTTTATGTGTACCAATAGTTCCTTGTACGCAGGAGATGCCAACTGATGTGTTCAAGAAAGTAATGAAGAGAATAAAATCCAAGAAGGGTGAAATGGAAAAAGACCTAATGTTCGGCCTGCCGGTGCTCCGACGTATATTGAAGGTACAGCCTTCGCCTTCTGACGGAATTGGTCATTTTTAGATAATTGGGGATTGTTGCACTGATGTGGGCTTTTTTTTGCACAGTGAATGCAATGCCACTTTATAAAACTCAACTATGTGTGTGGTACCTTCAGCTGTTAAAGTTGGTGTGCAAAAATATTTTTATTGTGCATTTAATAATCAATATTTTGCAGTGTACGCCTGCGTAAAAGCGTCCAGTTCGTATAATTGTGCGCTGGACTTGTACGGGATAAAAACGCTTATCGCAAAAAAAAATACAAGAAAGTAAAGGGGGGGGGGGGGAGAGTTGATTTTAAATGACAAAAAAATGAAGTGGGAAAAGCAAACCCTGCAACAACTTTCTGCAGCAAAGTGCGATACCTCAGCAGTAGTTCACAATGGAAGGACTAAGAAGGTATTAAAAAGAGAGAGACGGTTAGAGAAGTACGCGGACGGGGCCCCGATCGGCCAGCGTCGTCGACGAGGGGGCATCGCGGACGGGACAACTATCTGCCACAAAATCCATCGAACGCCTCACAACAAAATAGCACGGTCATGTTTCCATTCACTATGCACGCGTATTGAACCGCAAGGACAAGCCGCTTTGTTGTCAAGGCAGTTTTAATGTTAGCGGCTGTAAACTCAGATTTAGCCATGTAAGGACTCTCGTATTATAATAAATCATAGTCAGCCGTTTGTACCAGCCAAGCTTCCGCTTCCTGTAAGATTTAAACGAAGAACTGTGGACAGAATAGAGAGCTTGCCGTTTCTTACTTGGTGCCCTTTGCATGTTATCTAATCCGCGTCAGAGCTGGAACATGCCTGACATTTCGTGATTTGTGGCAGGGTGAAGCAGCACTCTTTATGAGCGAGAGCGGTGTGGCGGCGCAAATGCGCGGGCGGTGCGAAAAGCTGGTGCCACTGGACGCCGAGTTCTACTACGCCCCCAGGCCGGTCACTCAGATGCCATTGTCCATGTTCACGAGCAAGCGGCTGCACCCACCTCTTCGGTGGGCCATCGAAAAGATGTGAGTGACACTTTCCACGTTCCGGGTGCAAGAAAAGCGTTAAGACACGGATTGAGTAAGGGCTCTCTACTATTTTTTTTGTCCTTTTTCGTAAACGCATCAAGCGTCTCAACGCGGTAGCTTGCACTAAGAAAAATATTGACTTTAGTTTCACCAGAAAAACTTTTAAGGAGATGGTCGGCAATCTTATTTAAAATTGCTAATAGCGCAATAATATTATAGCGAGCTTTCAAATTCTATGTATTCGTCTCTCACGGTTATACTAGGTTATAGGGTACACCCAAGCAGTTTGCACTGTTGTACTCTCCGTTCCTCTTGATTGTAACTTTTACCAAATCGCCCCTGTGGTGTAGTGGTTATATGATGCTCAGCTGCTGGCCTCGATGGTCGTGGGTGCGATCCCGGTCGTGCTGGGGGCATGTAAATGGAGGCGGAATTTTCCGCTAGAGGCCCACGCAGTGTGCACGTTGAAGAACACGTCAGAACGCGTTGAAGAACACCGGATGGTCAACTTTCCGAAGCTCTCCACTAGGGCATTCCTCGTATTCACGTCCTGCTTTTTGGGGCGTAAAAAACTAGATATTATCATTTGCAACTTTGACCATCTTTAATTTTTTTAACAGCTGTTGGCGAGCCTTTCGCGTTGTGGATTATAGTCGCTGGCTGAGAAAGAGCTGCTCATTAAAGAGAAAACAAAAAAAAACGGAATGGTGAAACGACAACCTTGATGCTCTATTTGTCTATGCTGTAGGGAGAACTGCGCCCTCTGACAGCCCTGTTCACTTGGCGCAGGATCAAGATATTCGTGGAGCGAGGCTTCGTAGACAAGTTCTACCGAGACAGTCGACTCGAGATGCCTCCTTGTCGACGCCTAACGGCGCAGAGCCACAGCGGCGACAGCCCACAGCTCGACTCCCTGCAGGGAGTTTTCTTCACGCTGCTCGCTGGGCTGTCGATGGCATGCGCGGTTCTTCTGGCGGAAATACTTCGAAACCGTGCCGGAAGGCATGCACTGACTGAGCGAGCACGATTTCACTAGTGTTAAACTCTGTCATGCAATAGCACGAAAGTGTCTTATAGCGGGCTGCGTTCGGAATTTAACGACGCCATATTCTTAAATTCACCATCTTGTAAACACTGAATGGTCCAGAGGTCTGTCGATGGCATGCGCGGCTCTTCTGGCGGAAATACTTCAGAACCGGGCCGGAAGGCATGCGCTGACTGAGCGAGCACAATTTCACTAGTGTTAAACTCTGTCATGCAATAGCACGAAAGTGTCTTATGACGGGCTGCGTTCGGAATTTAACGACGCCATATTCTTAAATTCACCATCTTGTCAACACTGATTGGTCCAGAGGGCTGTCGATGGCATGCGCGGCTCTTCTGGCGAAAATACTCCGGAACCGGGCCGGAAGGCACACGCTGACTGAGCGAGCACGATTTCACTAGCGTTCAACTCTGTCATACACTGGCACAAAAGTGGCACTGGCACAAAATACGGTGGGCTGCGTTCGGAATTTAACGACGCCATATTCTTAAAGTCACCATCTCGTCTACACTGATTGGTCCGGAGGGCTTCTCCGGCCTCTCTGATTGGCTTAGAACTACCGCTTTAGAGAATATGACAGCTTGGTGGAATTTGACTGTCCATATGCGGATCCCCTGGTCTCCTCTTAGACATCCTTAATTCAACCGCAGTCTTCATTTTTGTTAAACCTCTTCCGGTATGCACTTCCGGTATCTCAATTGCCTTTCTGTTTTCACTTCCTGTGATACCCTATAGCTAATGACCACCTAAAAGACTAGCTCGGTGAAAAACGTTCGCTGACATAGAAGAGATCGTGTATCGTTAATGTGGTGGTAGTGGCCACAAAAAAAGAAAAAGCATGTAGCGAAGTGCGAAAAATAGACCCTGAGATGATATTTTCGCCTCCCGTCTAGCATAAAACGACGAAACTCCAGTCTGCTACACCGAATTCACCTGGATGTTGCATTCACTCGCCGCTACACACACCTCATCCGCCGTGCGTATACAATCCGAACTGTCATCGTGGCCAAGTGTGCGAGACTACGGCGCATATATTTCGCGATTGGCTACTTTACGTGTCACACACACACAAAAAAAACGCTCGCTTCAAATGCTGGCAGGAATATGTGTGGGAACGCTTTGTGAAAGTGGTATTTTATCAGCAATGTGTGATCAGACGAGATCAAAAAGCACAATCAGGGCTGTGATGGGTTTTCTAAAGAGTACAGGACTGGGCGTTAGACTTAAGGGAAGCCGCGGTGCTGCGCTGTTATTGTATATACACATAACTTGTTTCGGTCCCCATTGTCAACTCACTCGTGAGTCGGCACACTCGGACCGGTTCACACTCAGAACAGGTCGTGAGTCTGAGTCAAGTGAGTCTGGGTCAGAGGGAGTTCGGCTCAGGAAAATTTTTGTGAGTCTGAGTTCGAGCAAGTCCAAAGTTCAGGATATATTTCATAAATGAGTTTGAGTCAGTGCCACATGTTTTGCCGACCTATGGGCGAGAGTGAACCAACTCAGGCCGACCTCTTTGCCTTCTATTAAATCATCTCTTTCTTTACATATACGTAATAAGTGCGACTCTTCGTGACTTGATTGAAATTACCAAAAATAATGCGTACCATCAAAGCTGATGAGTCCTAGCATGCTTTAGCATAAAATTATCGTAAGACGTGCACTTTTTTCCTAAAGTTGTGTTTTTATTTGCTACAAGAAACTCAGTATTTGTGGAAAGAAAAAAATGGGCATGGTTTGGCGAACCTACATTTTTTGTTTGCTTGCCGGAAAGAAAACAGTAATATGGCGTTCTGTATAGTTGTTTCACGCATTTGTGTTTCTTCTAAGCCCAACAAGATTTCACTAGACACATGTTTCCATCAACTGTCGTTAAACTGTGGCTATTGGTTTCCAGAATAAACGTGAAATTCTACTCTACATAAATAAAAACCGTAATCGTGCTTCTTCCGCGACATCTATTTATTCACAGCAACGAACTGTCACGAATTGTCAGTGCCCTCACTGACGCAGAAGACCCAGGTTTTCGGCACACCTGTTTTAAGAACCTTAGGTAATTCGTTAAGCACCTGCAGTAATCCCTCTGACTCCACATTCCGTTTCGACAATCACATGCAGAGACAACTGCCGAATGGCCGTCTTTGGCTTGCATTATTTTTCCTTGTTGTTTTTTCTAGAAATATTGGAAGGACTTACCAGTGCAACCTAATGACGTGACAGAAGCGAAGAAAGAATCGATCATGGTCTTTCTTTGCTGTCCTCGCTATGTATACATCACATTGCAACAGCTTGAGGAAGCCATGATGAAACAGCGGCATGGCCGGACACTCTGACAGACACTCTTGCCATGTAATTGCCTCCTTATAGGGAATCAGGTTCAATTTATTCGAACAGAAAATTGCTCCTGTTCTACTCGACTCCTTCAGTTCTAGTTCAGCTATATTCTAGCACTTTCACAGTACTTTGTGTTTTTAATGTAGGCGTGCTTTATGTCTTTATCTCTCTCTCTCTCTCTCTCTCTCGATGCTTTTTTTGTGTCCTTTTTCGTACATATTTGTCTCTCTTTATGCCTTCCCCAACGCATTGTTGCGAACTCGACATTTATATTCATGTGAGCCTCCTCACCTTTCGTTTCTCTATTATATCAATAATTCTGTGTATCCTGTCTTCTCTATAGAACTTGGTCTAGCGTGTGACTGAGTTCCACATGCTACCTGAGAAGTCGCCGTGACCACAAACACGTCGCCATCTGCCGAGAAGAAGCGATGATGACATCGATTTGTTGCGCACGAGTTTGCACAGCGGCTGGTAGGTGTCGCACTTCGAGAGCTTCATTATTCAGTGCTCTGCGTAAAATAAACTGAAAGAAACTCTATGAGTGTGATGCACAGGTAGTCAAAGAAGGTGCCTATTTGGTTTTAAAATCGTCATAGCTTGAACGTGTGGTCACTTTCACGTAAAAAAAGTATCGTATTTGCACTAATAATGTCCTGTCAACTATGTCCTTTATGCCTTCCCTAACGTCTGTAGGTTCTCATTAGGTTTTGTCCAACAAAGTATTTCACGGTATTTGTGAGATTTTAGGTCGACAACTTACTTTCCGTTATCTTCATGCTATGTACAAAAATAACCGCTGATGGAATTACGAGGACATTAGAGTTCTACCAACCAAAAGACCACGAAGGATTTTGTACAGACTACTGAACGATATTGTTACGTGGAAAATAACAGTTGTCGGTCCGCAGCCACAACGCAGCTCACTCACAACGTCCACTTCTTTTCTCTCAGTCCGAGGCACCTTACTTGGGTATATCCCACTATGCCCTCTTTCAGTCAGACGAAATCACGTAACACGACCCCCGGCGGCAAAAGCGCCGACCCGGCGAGTTTACGGGGCCACAGCAGGAGCAGTGTGGTAACGCTTGAGCCTTGATACGTGGACGATGTCCCTTGACAGCAGAGCGGAAGTGGTTGATGGACTATCAGGGACAATTTCATATGTAGTGTCGGTCACTCGTCTAAGCACGCGGTATGGGCCCGTGAAACGAGAGAGAAGTTTTTCTGACAGGCCTGCATGTCGCGTAGGGGACCAAAGAAGAACGAGGGAGCCTGTTGGAAAGTGTTCGTCGCGATGCCGCTCGTCGTAACGATGCTTCTGCGAGTCTTGGGACGCCATTAATTTGCTGCGGGCAAGCTGACGAGCATGGTCAGCTCGGGTAATAGCGTCGCGTGCATATTCAGAAGTATACTGCGCAGCGGCTGGCAGGAAGGTATCCAACGGCAATGTTGGTTCGCGTCCAAACAGAAGGTAAAATGGCGAGTACCCGGCAGTGTCATGCCGGGAGGAATTGTATGCGAACGTCACGTAGGGTAGTGCAAGGTCCCAATCACGATGGTCGGCCGAGACGTATTTCGATAGCATGTCTGTCAAGGTGCGGTTTAAACGTTCTGTAAGCCCGTTTGTCTGGGGGTGGTACGATGTCGTGAGCTTATGTTGGGTAGAGCAGGAACGCAGGATATCGTCAACCACTTTCGAAAGGAACGTACGGCCTCGGTCTGTCAGCAGTTGACGAGGGGCTCCATACACTAAAATGAGATCGCGTAGTAGAAAATCAGCGACGTCTGTAGCGCAGCTTGTTGGCATGGCTCGCGTAACTGCATAACGGGTCGCGTAATCCGTAGCCACCGCGACCCACTTGTTTCCGCAGGCGGATGTTGCGAAGGGACCGAGAAGGTCCAAACCAACACGGAAGAATGGCTCCGATGGGATGTCGATGGGCTGAAGATATCCGGAAGGTAGTCTCGACGGCTTTTTGCGACGCTGGCAAATTTCACAAGCGTTGACATAGCGACGTACAGAACGTGAAAGGCCAGGCCAGTAGAAGCGGCGGCGCACACGGTCATATGTGCGAGAGACACCAAGGTGACCCGCGGTTGGCGCGTCATGGAGCTCGCGTAGGACTGTAGAACGCAGGTGCTTTGGTATGACCAGAAGTAGGTCGTGACCATTGGGCGATAAATTACGCCGATATAAGGTGTGGTCCTTTAAGGTAAACATGCGAACGGAAGCGTCTTGCGGTGAAGATTCGAGCTGTTGTATTAGGCGGCTGATATCCGGATCGCGACGCTGCTCGTCCCCGAGATGAACCAGCTGGGAGATGGAAAGGACGCAGCCCACAGAATCAGTGCTCGTAGGATCTCAGTCGGCCACAGGGTAGCGTGACAGACAATCCACATCTTTGTGCAGTTTTCCTGATTTGTACACTACGGTGTACGAATACTCCTGGAGGCGGAGTGCCCAGCGGGCGAGACGGCCTGTGGGATCTTTGAGGGAGGCGAGCCAGCAGAGAGCGTGGTGGTCGGTAAGAACTATAAATGGTCGGCCGTATAAGTAAGGGCGAAATTTCGCGACTGCCCACACCAGCGCTAGGCATTCGCGCTCTGTGATGGAATAATTACGCTCCGAGGTGGACAGCAGCCTGCTGGCATAAGCT